AACTAGCAGTGCCAGTAGTTTCACCCATGTTGAAAATCAGTATATAAATTTCAATAAAAAATATAGCCTATGTGTTAATATGACGCATAAGCTATATTACTGTAAAGTTTCATCAAAATCCATTCAGTAGTTATTGCGTGAAAGAGTAACAAACATCCATACTCACAAACTTTCGCGTTTATAATATTATTATTAAGATAAGATACGAGTCATTGCCTACGGTTTCGGTCACATGACCAGATTATATCATTCAATTATTTATACTATATCTATACTAATAATATATATATAGAAAGAGAATATAGATTTATAAGGAAAGTAAACTCAGGAACCAGGACTGATTTGTAAAATACATTTATTTACATATTTTATTTAAACGTTATTAAAATTAAAAAAAAAAGCGGACTTAATGCTATTAGTATTTTCTACCAACTTTAGAGCATGCAGAGATATTCGAATGCTCTTAATTTTTCGTTTGGTTTTAAATAAACTTCTAAAATATATTAAATAGGTATAAATATAATAGTATACATAGTAAAATACTATATTTAATGTATTTTTCTAAAAATGAAAGAATTTCAGCATCATTTCATCGCACACTTGCTATGTATTAGGTATGTAAACATAAACAAAAATTCGTTTGGTTTTAAATAAACTAGTTTAATAATATATTAAAATCAAAGTATAAATATAATAGTTACTTTATATGTAAATGACATTTATAATTTAGATAAAAACTTATTCATTATATAAATACGAGAATTAACTTTGTAATCCTTTTTGTAAATGTTGCGCAGACGGATGAGTATAAAATTTCGCACACTTATAGTTTACATCATTTATGCATCGCTCACGTTAATTTATCCCCTTAGTAATTTATCAAAATCCTTTCTTAAGTATGTATAGTTATGCATAAACAAAAAATTGACAAAGTTTCACGCAAACTTTCATCTCCTATTTTATGCCCTTGGGGGTAGAATTAATCAAAATCCTTTCTTAGCGGATGCGTACGTCATAACATCTACCTGAATGCCATAATAATATTCATCCAGCGGTTTAACTATGTGTTGATAGATCTCTATGTCATAATTATATATATATATATATATATATAGATATAGAGAAGGAATGCAGAATACTAATATATATTTTTTTAATTCTGCATAAAATTACATTAAATCAATAAAAAAACATTACACTCACTAGCGTGTATACACTCTTTTGTTATTGCTGGTTAAAGATCGTTTTGTATTTTTTATTATGACATTTATAATGGACGACTATTAGTTATAATAATATCTTATTAATAATATAACATAGCGTCACGAATTTATCTTAGGATAGATAATCATTATCAATTAAAACTAAAAAAAAAATTCAATTGAGTTGCCAGCTCTTCTCAATTGAAATGGACAGTGGAAAAAACATAGTATAAAAAATTTTACGTTCATAAGCGACTAAAATGAATGAATGAGTTTTTGGATTGTCATTGTAACAGCAATCTTTGACAACCCATTTCGTTAGTGTTTTGTTTCTTTAATTAATAAAGGTATTTTCTTTACCGAATATTTACCTAGAAATATTTCTAGGTAAATATTCGGTGATTTATATAAATTTATATAAATTGGCACACGAGATATTTTTTTGTTGGGCTTTCAACTCTGACTTTTTACGTGTAAAAAGAGGTAGTCAACCCCTGGGTCCCAACACTTAAGTTATTTATATAAATACTATCTGTGCCCGCGGTTTCATCCGCGTGATATTTATAGCCTATATGTTATTCTAATGTACAGATTAGTTACTATAAAAATTCATTAAAATCCGTTAAGTAGTTTTTGCGTGAAAGAGTAACAAACATCAATCCCTATCACAATCTTTCGCGTTTATGATATTAATAAAGTAAATAAATTTTCTAAACGCAATCAAAACTCAAACATTCCCCATTAGAATGGTAGCAATCGGATAATTAATTCTGGGTCTAAACAACTACTCGTTTTAATAAGAATAGTAGACTTTTAATGTATTGCTTTTATTTCAGACCAATTTAACGACAAACGACTCTGCAGCTTTAATACCCGAATGTAACATAGTGGAACCAAACAAGCCGAATTTTGAAGCTCCAGGACGTAGAATTAGTAAAGCAAGTATGTCGGTCGTTAGCAAAACTATATATATATACATAATAATAATAATGATAATAATAATAATAATAAGTTCAGCTCTTGCCAACACTGAGTACTTGCACAGACACAACCAGGTAGCCAAAATACTCCATGAAGAACTAATTAATACGGCCTCGCGAATGAGAGGTTGCCGTAAACAACCGGTCCTCGAAAGCGACATCAAGACTGGGACCGATCCATCATCACGGACAGGACCGTTCTTGCGAATAAACCTGATATCGTGGTGATGGATCGGGCATTTCAGACATCACCATTTAAAAGACAAACGACTCGACCTGGCTCACGAGGTGACCGAAATGTGGGGGGTTAATATGTCCGGTCTTATCCCAACCAGTCTGGAACAACATCTCAGACGGTTGGGATTCCGGGGCGGCTCAAACAAAAGCGGTGCTGTTAGATTCTGCCCGCATTGTACGCCGGTTTCTCTCCCTGGGGCCCTGAACCCCGGCCGACTGTGCTTCTGCCGGGGGTATGTTGCCATCTCCTCTCCTTAAGAGGGAAGATGAGAATTTTTGGGAAAAAAAAAAAAAATAATAATATCAGGACAATTCACACAGCGCCATCTAGACCTAAGTTAAGCTAGCTAAAGCTTGTGTTATGGGCACTAGACAACTGATACAAATACATAAATATTTTTTTTTTATATTCATACATATTATACATAGAAAGCACCCAGACCGATACAAACAATCATACTCATAAATACAAATGTTTGTACCGTGCGAGGAATCCAACGCGCGATTATCGGATGTAAAGCGGTGTGTACAACTACTGTACAACCGAGGGCATCTAATAATAAACATGTACAGCACTACGGACATAACGTCATCATGTGACGCCTCCGGTATCACCCATGAGGATTTCATATCTCTGTACACTGCAATTCCGCTGCCACTTCTTCCTTTCAACCGATAATACAATAACAAGCTTGCTTTGTAAGGTACAAAGTAGTCTATTTTGCAATTTAAATGGTTGAGACAAAGGTACCCGCGCAGACGACTGTATACAAAGATTTAATTTGGTAAAAACAAACACTGAAACTTAAACTCTAAAGTATTCATTATTAGAATACACTCTTATACTGGTATAGAAAGTAACAAAGGCATACCTTCTCTTCAAAAGAGTTATTTGTATTTTGAGCTAATATTTAGAATAATTATAAAGATTCATAATGAAAAATTTAAATGGTACAAACAAGAATTAGTTATTTGTATATAATGTTTATATATATTTGAATAATATAGGTAAGGAACATTTCGTCCACTTATAATTGAGATTGAGAGATTGCTTCTTGTGATAAGACCGGCTTTTGTACATCTTTATATCTTTTCTGTATAATTCTTGAGTAAAATGCCTGGTGCAATATAGAGTTTCTAAATAAATAAATAAATAGAAGTTCATGGCATTTACTTTATATTTCTCATTAAATTTAACCAAATTTATATTATATATTTTTAAATTATACCCTGTATTATTCTAATGTATTAGATATACACTTAAAAGTTTCATCAAAATCCATACAGAATTTTTGCATGAAAGAGTAACAAACATCCATCCGTCTATACTCACAACCTTTTGCTTGCTTTATTATATTAGTAAGAATAAGAATTTTGTATTATTTTATAATATAAAAAATATATTTCACTCACTACTCTATAGGAATGTAGTATTCTATGAACTCATCACGAATCTACTAAATAGTGTTACGATATGTGAAATAGTAAGAATAAATTTTATTTAATGCATTTTCTTTCTTTATTTTACAGAATGTTATGAATATATTTGGGAATTAAAAAATAGATTTGATCAAAATGAGAAGGTAGCCAAATGTAAGTATTTATGTATATAAATAATCCTGCTGTTAGAAACTTGAGGTTTTAAATATAACATCCTGATATAACATTCATTATATTCCATATTCCCTAAGAATGTATTGTCCTAAATTCACATTGGAGAAGGTCATAAAATTGATGTAATAAAATGTATAATTCTGTAATCGCATTAGTTTCATTTAATCATCAGTTTCTTTCACATTTGATTAAAGTATTTTATTGTAACTGGAGTGGTAAATAGATTCAACAAAATACATCAAAATTCTTCTTTCTGTATACGTCAATTTCATTTTTTTGTTATTTTACTACAGTATGGTTTTGGTAACTAAAATCGAAAAAGTCTGTCGTTCCACCTGATGGAAATCATTGTCTATAAATATGAAAAGCACAACGGTGATCACAAAATATACAGTGACCTCCGAAGATCACGTACCTCATACATACTACTCTAGAGGACTAAAAAGCTATGTCAAAAGTGAGGCAGAGAGGAATAGATAACTTTAAATAATAACTGAAGAGAATTCACACAGCGACTTTTTGTTCCAAATTAAGCGTGTACTATGGCGTGAAGAACTCGCGTTCTAATACAAATATTGCAGATTTTAGCTCTCCCCCCTCTGTAACACACTGTCCCCCTGTGACAGGGGATTGTTAGAATGTGGTCTCATGACCCCATTACTAGCAACGTACCATGTCAGATTGACCTCCAAGTGGTTCGCCCTGGAAACCATCGTGATAAATTCTTGGTCAATTTTTCACGATGGGCTAATTGATACCTCAAGTTCATTTATTATCCTCCACTGGTGCCCCGTCAGCGAAAACCGTTATTGCATCATTTCATTATCATATACATAAAAAACACACTGTCACACATCGTTCCCCTTGTCACCATTATAAATAGTCACTTTATAGTAAAATGTACGTAATGCAGTACGTACATAATTAATATTCTTTCAATAATATCTAGGTATATTCACAGGTCGAGAGATTATCAGAAATATCACTCGCATTCGGTTTGTTGTCGGTGGTCGCAAGACAATAGTCGGGGAATTTCCCCATATGGTAAAAAATTTTTTATTTATTTTTCCTTATCTGTAAATAATGTTCACAACCTAATCAGATAATTTTAATTATCTTTAATTTTATTTCTTAATCAACGTTTCCGTTGCCAGATAGAAATATAAATTGGCACAAAAGGTGTTTATATTGGTCAGATTCGAACTGACGATATGTCAGAGCCTAAGAGAGATATATACGTCAGAGACATATATTCAAGTTTTTTATGTAATTCTAAAAGTCACCTACATAAATGAGGCATAATTTATCATGACGCCAATGATTCATGCGTTGCTATTTACTGTCACAACTCATTCGTCAACCGAAATACACCTTACTAAGCAAGCAGCTTGACGGCTGAAATGGATAGACAGTCGTATCCACACAAAGGTCTTTTTACATTGTCGACCTCAGTGATTTAAATATTGTGTAATAATATGTTCTCAACAGGGGGCTATCGGTTGGAAAACTCCCATCGATACTTGGATATTTAAATGTGGAAGCTCCCTCATTAGCCCGAAATTTGTGCTCACTGCCGCCCACTGCACAAAGGCTTCACCCAGAGATACCAGTATTGCAGATATCGATCCTAAAATCGTAAGATTTGGCACAAAAAACATATTTTTAGACAATGTAAGTAATATATAATTAATTTTATATATATCAAATAGTTACTTGTTTCTAAATATCATTGAATTGTGTTCACGATCATAACCCTTTTAGCCGATCGATATTTAACTATCGACAATTGTAACTGTAAGGCACCTATTACATATACACAACTAGCTGTGCCCGTGACTTAGTGCGCGTGTACATTAAACAAAACATTGATTTTTATAACTTTATCCCCTAAAGGGGTTATAAATTTAAAACAATAAATTCAATAAATATAAATGGTATTCACCTCGTCACGATTTCATTATATGTAAAGATAATTCTCCACAGGAAGTATCATCTCTTAAAGCTGACGTATCAATATCCAGAGTTATTATACATCCAAAGTATAAACCTCCAAAGAAGTATTACGATATAGCCTTAATGGAATTAGAAACTGAAGTTCAATTCAATAAGATGGTACAACCAGCTTGTCTTTGGCACAAACCAGATGACAGCTTTGGTAATTTGGCTTCTGTGACTGGATGGGGTATTTTAAAAGCTGGTAAATAATTTTATTATCTACTATTATTAAATTGGTAATATATTTAATTATCCTATACAATCTTGCACACATTATTTTTTAGCATTGCATAAAATTGAAATTCATGTAGGATATTTTAGTTTATTTATTTATTTATTTGAGCGACCAACAAAACATACACTATGAGGTTACAATTATTATAACTTGCAAAGAGTTCAGGTATAGAGTGTTGACTTAATTACACGGCATGCGATATTGTTTTCAGAAGTTTATATATATATATATGTATACAATTTTTTTTTTATATATATTATATTTATATATGTATTAATATTATATTTATATATTTATATGTGTATAAATATTATAGTTTTAATTTTAACTGTGTTAATGAAACGGGTTTAACTTTTGTCTCAATATGTGTTCTTGAATGGTTGACTTGAACTTGGAGAAACCAGAAAACACGTCAATATCCGAACTCTTCGCTACAATATTATAGTTATTTTCTAGTCTATTAATGGTGGAGAAGTGTCCCAAATTGCTTCTGAATTGCTTTTTTGCAAATAAGGAATACTTTTTACTGCGAGGTAATTTATAGGGTGCGTTCATAGTTATTTGTTCTAGCAATGCAGGGCAATCAAGGACACCATTTATAATTTTATGGAAAAATGCACCGTCAAGCAACTGTCTCCTATCTTCGAGACTCGTTAATTTGAAATATTTCAAACGTTTATTAAATGATTTTAATTCCTTTGCCATTTCGCTATGATAAGAAAGGTGCCAGATAAAACGTTTGAGTATGGATTCTATGCGATTTCTATGTACCATATAATAAGGGGTCCATACCTGACAACAGTATTCTAGACCAGATCTGATAAGCGCGTTAATATGGAGATTTTAGTGCCAGTTTACGCCAATTTGAACTGTTTCCAATTCCGCAACATAAAACCCAACAATTTAAAGCTTTTAGTTACCAAATGATTAACATGAGTGTTGAAATGTAGCCTATTATCAATGTAAATTCCCAAATCTCGTACAACTTCTGCCTCTGTTAATGTACTGTTACATAACTTATATGAATTAAAATAGTTTTTTTTGGACGTGAGAAATGAATAAAGTTGCATCTTAATACACCATGTGGAGAATCTGTCTAAGTCTTTTTGTAGTTCGTCACAGTCAGATGAATTATTAATAATTTTCATAATTTTCAAGTTGCTTATGAACATCAATTTTTTTATTATTATATTTTTTTCCCTACCGTTCAGTTCAGTATACAAATCCAATTGAGAAGAACTAGCAAGAAACTCGATTAACATTGAGATCTCGCAATATAATGTATTAGTTTCTGAATACTAATGCATAAACAACCACTAACATCTTAATTATACCGTGCCTGTGCCTTAGAAATTGAAATAGCATAAAGCTGTTCAACCTCCTGATGGTAAGGGGTAATCGTCACCATGAGTAAGAATGGTCGCATGGTGACTTCATGCTAACCCTCATGCGACTAATCGTAAGGAGTAAGATATATTTTTTATTGTGTGATAATAAAATCTCTAACGGTTTATGCTGGCGAGACACCAGTGGAGGATAATAAGACGAGCATGAGGTCAGGTTAGTTACCCCATCTTGAAAAATTCAAAAAGAATTTATCACGATGGTTTCTACTCGTGGACATCAAACTGATATGGTACATTGGTAGCAATACAGTCATGAGTCCACATTACTAATAATCCAATTTCAGCCTGGACTCTAAGTCCAAATCATACCTTCAAACACTGTAATTTATTTCTTATTTTTTATTCTATTTTTTATTACACAATAAAAAGTTATGACTGAACAGAGGTTACGTGAATGGGAGTTGCTGATAAACCGAATTCAAATAAATGGGAAAGGAAAGGTCGAAAATGCTAGTGTATCAAAGTTAGTCTTTGCGGCCACGAATTAATAACCATTTATGTTGTGAGCGAAATTTGAAAACATAGTCATGCTTTCTCAGGCCAGAATCGGATCAAATACGGTTGTTAATTTCACTGTGTTATCTGACCATTAAAATCATGAAAATATAAAGCAAGTTTGCCAGTAGAAATAGGTTAGGTGTGTACCCATGCAAATAACTTTACATAGAGGCAAGTTTATACCTCGATTAAATATTTGCTTATTCTAGAAGAGAGATTAGATAGGTAAACATAGTGCATGACTACCTTAGCTAAGAGGGAGGACGTAATTTTATTCGAAGCAAATAACGAGAGCCAATGTATTTGCCATGTACCTTTAGATAAGTTTATTTACAATACTGGACTGATGGTGATGCTGATGGTGCGTAGTTTTTTATAGACTACAGTATATTATATTCTCACAATTGGTTTTATTTATATCAATTTTTATTAAATTATTTTTTATTAAAAGCTATTGCAAGGTCGAATTTAATAGTACCAATTTTTTTAAATATTATTACGCCTGAGGCTTAGGGTACATAATTTTGTAATCACAAGCTGTTATACTAAGGTTTATAACAATTTGCTGTTTTGTCGAAATTGTCTAATCGTGTAGATGCTTCACCGGATGAAAATATTGCTTAGTGAAGAGAGCGTTGCAAACACAAGGAAGAACATATTAAGCATCTAAATACCAACTCCTGCCTGACGAATATGACTTTAGTCCAAGGATATTGCTATAAATCCAAGCCTAGGCTCAGCTCATAAAAAAATAAAAATAAAAAATAATTTATTTATGTAGTACATTTTAGCCGCATATGCACGTTAAGTTTGTGTTAATAATTTTTGTCCTACCGTCCAGTTCATTACACAGATTCAATTGAGAAGAACTGACAGGAAACTGAAACTATTTTTAAGAGCCAGTTTTAAACAACCTGACTTTAAAATAAAAATATTTTCGATCACCGTGAGAATAAAAACAGAACATTGATCATGGAGGAAAGGCAATTATTATATAAATATGGAGTGTGTATAGATACGTATATGTAATTTCAGGTGCCCGCAATACATCAGCAGAACTACAAGCCGGAGATGTTAACATCATTAATTCTACATCGTGCGGCGAATTGCTGAAATCCTCATCCAACAGGCACTGGGACGGAATAAAGGATCACCAGCTTTGTGCTGGAAAACCGCAAGGTGGTGTTGACGCTTGTCAGGTGTGTATTTCAAGAATGATTTGCAAGAAATGCTTGCGAAATTTCAACACTGAATAACAGCTGATAAGCTATTTCTTTTGTGGTATACAAACAAAAACCGTTAACAAAATTTGAAATTAATCTTACCACAATGCATTAGTTAAAACTGTATCCTAATCGGTTATGCTGATTCTGTAATTAGCGCGCACCGAACTCACGTAATGCACTATCATTGTTTTGAGTTCTGTTACTAAAGTCTCTCAATAATAATTTATATGAGGATAAATCCTTCATGTATGGCAATTAATTATGTTTTTATTATATATATTAATATCATATTGTAATTTGACGACCTGGGTAATCTCGCGGATTTAACACGCCGCATTCTTCCGATGGTCGTGGATTTGATTACTCGGACGTTACTAACATTTGTGTTTGTAATGACTGCTTGTAATGGTCTGAGTGTTTTTTATATATATTATGTAAGTATTTATAAATTCAAAATGTTTAAGCATTTCTATGAGCTGTCTAAGTAGGTACTCTATCTATTATAAACACAAGGTCTGCTTAGCTTGCGATGATGCAGTGTTGATTATTCAGTGTTATTCTAATTATTATGTGTAGAATTTTTATCGACCAGCCGAGAAGTCCAATTGTAAAATTTCTATAGTTATAAGATTAGTTTCGCTAAAAATTTATAAAATTTGGAATTATACAAAACCGTTCCCTAATCAATCGTTCCAACGTTCGACTCATTCGTTCCTCACTTCACTCATATATCCACTATCGCATCACACGTGTTGCGTTCCAAACCACGCATACAACACTCAGTTAATTTAGTTGTTCCATTACATACGAATTCCGGATTAGTGTTACTATTTCACAATTCATAATATTTACGTAGTTCTGTCTTGAATGTAATAACGGGTTTATTGCACTAAGTCACTTATCATAATTTTATTCTTAATGTAATTAACAAAATTAATTATTTTTTTACGTTTATTGCAGGGTGACTCTGGTGGACCATTACAAGTACAAATCCCACTACCAAAAACATTCACTGCTAGAGAAGGTTCTATGTATAATATAATTGGAGTAACATCATTCGGCGTGGGCTGCGCTCTACCAAATTTACCCGGAGTATACACAAGAGTGTCCAGTTTTATTGATTGGATTGAAAATATTGTTTGGATCAGTCAATAAAAATACTATTATTGTAAAGAATTAAATGGCACATTGATATTTATTTATTTATTTTAATATTATAAACTTAATATTATTTTTATTACGTAATTTACATATATATAAAAGAACACGTAGTCTCTGTGGTCAAGACATTGATGATAAGACTATCCCTATAGCCAGTCTTCCTTCATAAAGGTGGGCAGCATGTTGAGAGGAAACCTGGGCCATAAACGAATAATATTACAAAACGATTTAATGAAATGATTTGTTTTAATATATACCTTTTAAAATCATTCTAACAAATTGATTTGTTATAGTTTTATTCTATTTATTATATATAGGTAAAACGAAAAAAGACTAGGTGTACGGAGAATATATATTCAGAAAGTAAATATAAAAGTATTGATATGAAAGAATGATTTATTAAAACAAGAATGTACTATTAAAGAATAATAAATTTAAATAGAAATTTAGAATTAAAAATATATTTCTGATTAACCAGAGAGAACAAGATTAAATAAATTGTTATACTGAACAAAATCAAATATGTTTGATCAATCCATACCATAATTTCAACAACGATTAAAAACTATAAAAAATTGTATAAACTGTGTTTTAAAGATTCCCGTCTTTTATATATGATTGTAATCATGTATTATGTGTCTTTTTCCTGTTCAAACACCTTTAATGTCCGATCTTGTCATTCCAGTTCAAGATTTAGTCTGCGAGAGACGCTCATATTTATTTATAGTGAAAATTAATACCAGTTAAAATTAACACCAAAATTAACCACCACTCACTTTGTCCATTGATATTACGGCAATCATTATCATTATGTGCACGTTTATTCTGAGGATATATTTCATAGGTGAATATAAATATATATATATATACTTACGTATTATTACGATACTATTGTACCGTTATAAGCAGGTACAGTTTGTGACTTAGGATGTTCGAGATAAATCCTTGGGTACTACTCATCCGATTTTGAAAATTCTCTTAGTTTTAGGGTTGAATAACCCATTTAACCCAATAATGGATGATAATGTAATGGTGCACCTGCCTGCGCTACCAGTTTACGCTGGCGGGGCACCAGTGGAGGATCATAAGATGAGTTTGAAGTCAGGTCAGTTAGCCTATTGTAGTAAATTCATCATGAATTTATCACAATGGTTTCCAGGGGAACCACGTGGAGGTCCACCTGATATGGTACATTGCTAGCAATCGGATTATTAGTCCACATTACTAACAATACCCCTTTCCCCAACCCAATAAAGTTATATAACATCATGTTACGACTAAAAGGAATAGTTCTGGATATAAAACTTGAAAAAAATGCGACGCAGACCAAGCCGCGTGGGTCAGCTAGTAATTAAAAAAAAAGTTTTAGGTAGAATAAAATGACAAATAAACTGACAACCGACCTATATTAAACTCATGTTTAATATACATTATTTATATTGTTGTGTGTGAAAATCTGTTTAGGTGTATATACACTTGCCAAAACTTACTATATACTATAATGGTTTACCTATTTTTAATGGATTGGTTCCGTACAATTTTTTAGCGCGGTGATGATGTCTTAACTTGAAAAGTAGTTTAAGTACATATTCATCACACATATAAAAATAAAAATATAGTAAGTTACATTATAAGTAATAGGGGTGCTACTGTATTATAATAAAAAGAGATTTTTACAACATTTGCTTCTGTGAGAAACCGGTTGCAAATTATTAAAAAAACTAAAAATATTTCTAGTAATAACTAGTGAAAACCGGAAATAACTAGTTTCACTACGAACCCGCGATACTTGGATACAGTATTAAAACATGTTCACACATTTTATTTGACACGTCACTTGATTATCGAGAACTGTTATTAATGCGAAAATAATAAGTATTTAAGAATATATCTACAACACGTGATGAATAAATCACTTATCCGTTCTGTTATATCATTTATTTACATATGCATATATATATAATCATGTTTAATTAGCGCTCACAATAAACTATATTAGAATAGATTTTACAATATTATTACCACAATACAATTTAATTACTTATTTTAAGTTGCATTATTAAAATAATATAATTAATACAAGCTTACTTTACAGAATTAAAAAAATGTTTTGTTAGATTCTTGTCTCTATGTCTGTGCAGTTTTTGAGATTTTGTTTTGTTTTATCTGTGCATTCAGCAAGCTAATCTCAGAAACAAATTAACCGATGTGAATGCGATATTCACTGTTACATTATAGGAATTTATATATCATTTTCTGTTTTTTATATAATCAATTTAAAGATAATAAATAATATAATAATGATAACTCAGAACAATTCACACAACGCCATTTAGACGCAGTCTAAGCTAATGATATTCCAAATACCAAGCGTACAATTTGCATGCTCAACTAGTACACAAATAAAATATCTGATAGTAAATGTTTAGTAAATTAACGTTACATTGTTTATTACAAATGACCCTGTTTCTGGCATTCAACTCGTTAAACTTAACGATAACTAAATCCAGATTAATTTAGATACACTAATGAAACCAGTTTCTATGATAAATAGTGGATTAAGCATTTTTTATTTGTTTCTATACTCATGCAAATTTTTATAACCTCTAAGGCTTTATAATTTTATGCAAGATAATGTTCAATGACCTCGGTCATGTTAAGATTGTTTGTTTTGCATGATGTTATATAATTACTACTGGAATTATTATTATTATATATATACATATTAATAAAGTCATAGATTATAAAACTACCAATACCCATCACACTGGTGTACAAGATATTGATGGAAGTAGTATGACTACAAGCATCAATCATAATAAAATTACCCTTTCAGTATGAATTTTTAAAGTTACAATGAAAACTATACAAAATTCGATAAGTGGTTTCGAAGGAACTGTACTGTACTGTTTATGTGTAATAGATATATTATTAAAAATTTCAGTTGCTGTAATACAAATTATACAAGCGGCAAAAGTAACCGTTTCTAGGGTAAGTGTATTATTGTATAATATAAACAAAACAATAAGCAGAGAGTAGAATAAATTCACATTGATAACATTAACCCAAATTAGACCTTATCTGTTTAGACTAATTTATTTCTCTCATTTCAAAATATATGTTATCTATCACAGAACCAATTTGAAACCGTTTCATCCTAAGAGTGTATACATATATAGCTTATAGCATAATTAGTAATAAAAAAACATAAAATCAACATTACAGCAAAACTTAGAAGTTGATATACCAAAATTTATAATTTTCGAGTTATTATTACTGTTCCACATGGACTCTGTGATATATATGTAACCGGTTTTACCTAGGAGAATCTATTTTAAACTCAAGCAATCTAGTTTGGTTGCCCTATTCATATAGCGGAACCCAAAACCTTAAGTAATTTCCCAAAATTTCTATCATATCGGGAGATATACTATTTCCAGATTTAACCAGATTCCAGTAAAATAACATCTTCTTCTCAGACGAAAGCTTTTATTCTGTTGTATCATAATCTTCTTTCAGCGCCGAGATGGGTGGGATTGGAGTCATATTGATTCACTTGACACAACGCCTACTGTAAGAATCAAATGATTTAAACTTTATTCACGATTGTCCGAGATTGGTGTATACATTATATATACGTAAACGAAATATTTACAGGAATAATATTATTTATGAACCCAATATTTTGATAATGTTACATGTTCTGTGGCCTTTACGGGGTAATAAGGAAAACGTGCGGAATTAATTATTTTCGAAATGTCGCCTTTTAAGTTCACAATTACGTTACGAATAATAAGATGACAAACAAACGTTCATAATATATGCTAAGATTTATTTTGTATAAAATATAAATTATTACCAATTATGATAACAATAGATTTGGTTTTATATAATGACGAAGACGAAGACGAACATACTCACAAATCGCTAAGATTTAGAATCACTGAGTACATAAGCATTACATGGTATAAAATAAAGCCGCTATCACTGTCTGTCCCTATATATGTTTAAATCTTTAAACTACGCAACGGATTTTGAAGTATTTTTTTTAATAGATAGAGTGATTGTAGAGGAAGGTTTATATATATATATATATAATGCATGTACACCCGTGGGAGGCCCGAGCGAGTAGCTAGTACATAACAAAATTAAAAAACATTTTTTCAAATAAACATAATTAATAGATGTTATAATATACCTTATAGTAGTAATTAATTACGATTAATGAGCGAAATGATTAAAGGACAGTTTCCTTGTCTTTCGAATTCAATTATTATTAGGTACATATGAAATTGACGTTTTGTTGTACTGGCCACTTTGATCTCAAATATCTCCTCTTTGGTTAGGAATTCCAATTTCAAATTTATACATATATTTACTCATGCATTTGTTTTTCTAAAACCGTAATACATATGTTTTTTTCATCTTTGATTTTTTCTTTGCGTCACTCAGCGTACAAAATAGAGAACTTAAAATATCGCGTTATTTACGAGTACGAGTTCCACTGTGGCACCAGTGCTGCAGAAACGGAAGCGAAAATTCACTCAAAAAAAGTTACTTGTGAGCGTTTGGAGGACTAGTGCCGGTGTTGTTCACTTCAGCTTTCTTAAATCTGGCCAGACGATTATAGCAGATATGTATTGTCAGCAATTGCAACCCATGATGGAAAAGCTAGCTGCTAAACAACCGAGGCTAGTCAATCGCCGTAGGACTGCTGCAATGCTAAATCACACGCTGCACAATAGACAGGAAAAAATTTAATTCCGATAGGGCAGTCCAAAGTGCCTTCAAAATTTTGATAATTCCCGTCCGTATGGTTTTTTTAGTAAAGGTATCAATGAACTATGAGATGGCAAAAGTGCATAAATAGCAATGGTACATACTTTGATTAAATAAATATATTATATGTCGAAAAAATCGACTTTAGGTAACTCCCTTACAAAATGACAATTTGATATGTTAGGACCTAATATATTTATTACAGACAGCTGTTAACCAGAGATTATTAGCACCCACAACAACAACAACCACAGCAACAACAACAGCGGCTCCGTGTCATGAACCACCAGGCGTCCAACCAAACTTCCACACTTCAGGCCGCAGAATAAGCACAATAAGTTAATAACTATACCTTAATCCATAATATAATACCTTAATTTAATATATAACAAAGTAGTAATGGGAATTGTTAGTAATGTGGACTAATAGCACATTGCTAGCAATGTACCGGCTGGTTAATAAGGTTGTTTGCTATTATTATGTAATGGCCGACACCGATTTACTTCCTATGGTCGCAGGTTCAATTCCTCGACGGTGCAAACATTTATATTCAAGAGTATGATTTGTATTGATATTGATTTTCTATATATATTATGTATATATTTACAAAATGCATTTAAGTGTTTATATCTGATGTCTAGTACACAGAAAACAAGCTCTACTTAGTTTAGGATTAGATGGTTCTGTGTGAATTAACCAGGGTTATTACTATTAGCATTGTCATATTGACTAAATAAACAACCAAACCTAATAATACATTAATTATATAAATACCTTCATCTACCTGATTACTATAAGAAAAAAGGTAGATTTTGTTAAACCTTGAATTCACTGGCCGTTTGTAAATAGGAGATATTTTGTTCTTGCAATTTTTTTAATATTATTATTTCTATTACTAATACTGGGCCCTATAATAATAAACCATCAAGCATCTCTCTACTTTTTTTTATTATTATTGATTTATATTAGTTTTTTTTTCTACATTTCACAGAATGCTACGAATACATCTGGCAGTTAAAAGATCGAGTAGATAAAGCAGACAAGTATAAAAGATGTAAGTAATATATTATTTGAACTGTAATGTGATAGACTTTGTAGACTCGTCTACGGAGTACCTCAGTCTCACCTATATATTGGTGAGACAAGGCAGTGAAATTACGGGTTATAGAGACATAAAAATTTAGTTCTCCAGAAAGGCAATGCATGATTGGTACCACGGGCATCACATGATAACGTGTTCTGCTGTTCATGTATGTAGGCGATATCATCAGGTAGGCCGTCAGCTTATTTAACGTTCCAATTAAGCACTTTAAAAAAAATTAATGTAAATTTATTTATATAATATACGTGTAGGCACCATATTCTTACTAGTACTAATGTTATAGATTAGAGTGTCAAGTATCAAAGTATCATCTAGTAATTTGTTTGTCTGTCAATATTAATGTTCTCAATTATGATTTATTTAGCTGTATATTCAAGAAAATATAACAAAATACACCTGTAAAAGGGAAATTTTATAATATCACGTAATATGCCAATTCATTATTCACATAATATAAGATATTTATATTGTCGAATACATATATTCATACATATTTAATATAATAATCTTAAATTGTATTAACTAATTATATTATTTACATAACTTAATAATACAACTACAACCTAAAATTAAAAAGCTTAAAAAATATAATACAATAACTACAATATATTTTTAAAAGGGGTCCCTTTAGGCAAAGTTCCGAAGATACTGGCAGCGTTCCCTCTTTGAATAGCTAGACTAATTCTTTGTCCGAAGTAGCTGCCAGCTCTTCGGTCTTCTGTGATGTCGACTAACCTTTTCATTATTTCTTTGAAAAGTCTTATAGCGCTAGGACCCCACGGACCGTTTATATTTATACATGTATTTACAGGTGTAGCTCACCGACGCCCGTCATTGGGCAATCGCCATGTAATCGGAGGCCGGGGTACAAAACCAGGAGAATTTCCACACATGGTATTTCCTGCATTTTCCTTTCATTTATTTAAATCCAACAGGATTTTACGCTGCAAATTAAAATATAATCGTATAGATCATGACTTCATGAGTCTCTAGAGATAGACTTTGTAAGAAATCGTCTTCATGAGTATCTCATCCTCACCTATCTTAGCCGCCAAGCAGCTTGCTTTTTCAGCAGTCCTTCGGTTGTAAGGTGTGATTAGAAGAAATTAAATTAAAGGATAAAAGGCACGATATATTAATTATTATTATTATCATTTACTTAGCTTATATATCATAGCACATTATAATATGGAAAATATATAAGAACTTAATGAAAAGGCCAGCAACCCAGTTGGTGCCGCAGCGTATCAATGCAACGCTGATTTTCAGTGGAGACAATTTACTTAGTATAAGACTAGATGGAGCTGTGTGTGCTCTCTTGGATTATTTTTAATATTCTTTTATTGTACAGGGTGCTATAGGTTGGAGAGGTGTCACTGAAAAGTGGTTATTTAATTGTGGAAGCACCCTTATTAGCCCCAACTTCGTGCTAACTGCTGGTCATTGTACAAAAGCATCTCCCAGGGATACCAGAATTGCAGATATAGTTCCAAAAATTATAAGATTTGGTGCTAAGAACCTCAAATATCCCAGAGTAAGTATATTTGCTATTTACAAACCCTTTACCACTTCACGATGTAATTTATTGTGTATTTTTCAATCAGCCCAATAGTTGGTAATGTAGTTTGCTATAAGTATAACAATATTTAAATCTATCAATCATAGGTACAGTGTACTTACAAAACAAATGTTCATTTTAAGTACAATAATGAAATAAAAATTACAACACAATAAAATACCTACCCAGTATAAGTAATACAAACGTATTAGCGTTCGAAAAGCGTGCCTATAAGTGCCGACTAGCGATAATTCTTCCAAAGACATTTTTATTATTGACATTACTGATCGCCTCATGAACTAGATCCATTTTTTTAAGTAATCGAAATGACAATCAAGCTGCAATGCCATTCTGATATAATTATTAAGTAAGTGGCTATTAACAGTACTACTGATGTAACTATGCAGTACAAATGCAATATATGTATCTATTTTAACCGAATCTGTTATGAGGCAAATAACTATATCAATGATATCGGGTATTGCGTACAGCAATTGTTAATGCATCTGTCCACTCTATCAGGCATATCAGTCGTGAAAATATACTAGCTTTCCATTGTTACATATATAAAGTGCATATAACAAAAATTAATTTCTCAGGGTACTACTGACACAAATATCTCTAGAATCATACCTCATCCTCAATACAAACCACCGAAGCAATATTATGATATCGCTTTGATGGAAATTAAAAGTCCAGTAGACTTCAGTAAGGTGATACAACCGGCTTGTCTATGGAGCAGAAACCAAGAAAGTTTTGGAACTAAAGCCACAGTCACTGGGTGGGGTGTTTATAGAAACGGTAAATGAATACTATTTACCTTATTAAATAAAATTACATTGTTTACATTGATTTCAATCTTTTTTTTTTACCAAGTTTTATGCTGAAATATTATATAGTATAATTATGTATAGCTAGTAATTTAATTAATTTAATTTAATTAGACACCGCCAGCACGTTTTTGTCTTCTCAATCATTCATTAATAAATCAATCAATTAAATCAAAAATCAATCATTTTATCATACATATAGTTAAATGAGTCTTATTACGAATTGAGGTCCGTTTCATGCTCAGTAAAGCGGTATTAAGTCAGAACCGCATTAATTCTGCCTCACCTTGCATTTCGCAGCACTCAATGGTTCTGAGAATAATTTTATGATAAATAAAAATAATTAAAATCTGTGATTAGGCATTTAAGTAGAAAAATACAGCGACTTAGTACACCGCTTTATTTCCAATGGTCACATCGTTCGATTCCTCGCACGATACAAATATTGAAGTACTAGTATAAGTAGCAAAATAAACATCTTACTACTTATAGGCTATCAGACATACACCACTATTGTCACTCGCCGTTCACAGCTCATGATGCCAGCAGTGTGCGCAAAAAACGATATATTATTTCCTTCTCTTTCCCACATATACTACGTCTCTTTAATAATATCAGGTAACCGTAACACATCGGACGAACTACAAGCTGGTGACATAAACATAATAGACTCTAATAACTGCAACCGGCTGTTAAAATCCTCATCCAACAGACTTTGGGATGGATTACTGGACAATCAGTTCTGCGCTGGGAAATTGGAAGGTGGTATCGACGCCTGTCAGGTACGCAATTTACAGTTTGTTAACTTTGAAAAAGTTTTAATAACATTGTTTTCCAATCTTATTATTTTAATCGACGACCTCGATGGTCTAGAGGTTTAGTACACCGCTTTACTTCCGATGGTCGCGGATTCGATTCCTTGCACGCTGCAAAGATTTGTATTCATGAGTACGTTTGTTTGTATCGCTCTCGGTGTTTTCTATATTAAAAGAAAATATTTAAATATATCTATCAGTTGTCTAGTACCCATAACACAAGCACTGCTTAGCTTGGGACTAAATGGCGATAGATATTATTACTGACCCAGTCTTATAAGTTATTGAATACTAGTTGTATACATCAGCATTATCTGCTTCTTCCTTACCCCAATCATTTTGGTCCGGCGTAATTTGTTTTCTCTTCCATTCATCCCTGTTAGTAGTCATCATTCACTCCCATACTTACGATATCATCTTTCATATAGTCCATCCATTTCTTTTCGGCCTTCCTATGCCCATATAACCATCCACATTTATATGTAACACATTCCTTAAAATATTTTCTTCATTACTTCAGCATTTCCTGCCCTAAAAAATTTTTATTTTTAAAGTAAGACGAAATGATTTACTGAAAGAAAGCCTAATCTGGCATTGTACTAATGCATTTATAAATATAATATTTTTGTTGTATGTAAACAAATTAAACATACATAATAAAAATAGGACATTTTGAGTTTTATGTGTCAACAACATGATGAAGTAAAATTACGATGGATTGAGATTTTTGTATAGTTTTTTTATTATTACATTACAGGGTGATTCAGGAGGACCGTTGCAAGTAAAGATTCCATTACCAGAACCGTACAATAAACGTGAGGCGACTGTACATTACGTCATTGGAATCACATCATTTGGCATTGGCTGCGCTCAGCCGAACTTACCCGGAGTGTATACCAGAGTATCTAGTTTTACCGATTGGGTCGAAAATATTGTTTGGAATTAATAATATGTATCTTGAAATCTCGTAGTTTTAATTATTCAAAATAATGAGACAAAATGGCATACAAACTATATTCAACACCGAAATATAAGAAAAATAAACTATTAAAACAATTACAATTTATGTTACACGAATTAAATACTACACTGTATTTTACTAAATAGCTTTAAAAGTATTTTAAGGTTTACTTAATTGATAAATTTTCGACACATATAATATTATATATCGATCAACTATTAGTTAAATTCCAGTCGTGATACGCATTGAAGTTCTGAAACATGTAACTCGCCGATAACAAAGCGAATATTCTTTAAATAAAAAAGAAGAAACAAGAGAATACACGACCGCCGTCTCTTGTTACGAGTATTGTTAGTAAAATAAGTTAATAACAGCTATTTTTGGACTACGCTTTTCTTTTTAAAATAATATTTTTTATCTACGTAAAATTTTGCGTTATAGAACACAAATTTTCTGGAAAATTACTCCTAGAGTGCTATTAGCATTCTCTATCAGACAACTTTAGCATGTACAGAGATACTCGACGGTTCAGTTTTCAATAAAGTTATAAAATATATTTAATAGGTATAAAAATAATAGTATGTCCTTAATAAAATACTAATTACATATTTAACGTATTTTTCTAACAATGAAAAAATTTCGTTATCATTTCATTGCACACAGATTATGTATTAGGTATTAACATAAATAAAAATTCGCAAAGCTCTGAGTTAGTCATAGCCGCGGCTGACCACTAGTTTAATAATAAAACCAACATGCTGATCTTCAAAAAGTCAGTGTCGATATCGTTAATGATAACTTGCAACTTGTGTTACTTTATAAGTAAATGGCATTTCTAATTTAGATAAAAACTTATTATTATATTAATATGTGAAGTAAAACTTTGTACCCCTTTTTACAAAAATTGCGCGGACTGAGAAGTATGAAATTAATAATAATAACAATGGAAAGCACACACCATCCACATAGTACCCATAGTTTTGTCATCCACAGGAATTATAACATGTTGCAAATCCCCTCCTCTACAATAGACCTATTACAAAAAGCCATCATTCTCATAACATGCCGTATTGTACGGAAATTTCTGTCGTCTTCACTTTCATCATCCTTATATAACTTTTAAACTCATCCACGCTTGGCTAAGGCCCGTGTGTTTGAATGTATTACCCCTGTAAAAAGGGAGATATATAAAACATATGTATAATAATAATAATATTTATTGCTACCAATTTACGTAGTTAAAGTTAGTTATTCTTGTTATAAACTATTATTTTTTTGTTAAATATGTAGCATACAGAGTGTAATGTGTAGGAATGAAGATCCTAAGGACGGTGTTACATATGAATGTGGATCGATATAAGGGTAGAGGAAGACCGAAAAAGAAATGGATGGACTGTGTGAAAGATGATATGGTGAGAAAGAGAGTAAATAACGGGATGACTGCGGACAGAGATGAATGGAAGAGAAAAACATATTACGCCGACCCCAAATAGATGGGATAAGGAAGAAGAAGATGATGATGTAGCATACAGAGAATTTACGAGCACTATCTAAACTAGGCCGTGACTGTATCATAGATACTATTATTAATTTCGCCCAACGTATAGTTTAAACAGAGAAGAAATGTAGAATGCTAATATACATTTTTATAATTATAAATAAAAAACATTAAATCAATAAAAAAACATTACACTCACTAGTATTTGACACACTTTTGTTCTCCTTGCCACCTCCTTAACGTGTCAAGTAATTTATAATTTACCCCTTTACAGTGAAATGAAGTACACATATTATTAATATTCTTTCAATAAGATCTATTTTTACAGGTCGGGAGATTATCAGAAATCTAACACACATTCGGTTTGTTGTCGTGCTTGCAAAACAATAGTCGGGGAATGTGCCTGCATAGTAAACAAATTTTTATTTCTTCCTTTGCTTCCAATATTCACAAACTTAGCTTGGAACTCGATGTAAATGGTACAGTTCAGTTATTATTGTGTTGAATTTTTGTCCAATTGATAAAATTTTTGTGGTTACAAGTTTTATTTCGTTAAAACTTAATTCATAGAAGCAATAAAAATCGTTCCCTTCTCAATCATTCCCGCGTTCGACTCATTCGTGCCTCACTTCACTCATATGTCCACTCTTTCATTACTCTAATTCTGTTCCAATCCTTCCATATAATAATATTTAGTTAACGTAGTAGTTCCATTACATAGTAATTGTAGATTAGTATTATACGTTATCTGTGGTATTACTACTCCACAATTTATAATATTTATTTAATTTTTTCTACAGAAAAAACAAGAACGGGCTTATTGCACTAAGTCACATATTTTTTTCTTAATCTAATTCACTAAGTTTATTCTTCTTATTCATTTATTGCAAGGTGACTCTGGTGGACCTTTACAAGTATAAATCCCACTACCGTGGATGTGGGCTGCGCTCTACCAACCTAACTTACCCGGAGTATACATAAGAGTGTCCAGTTTTATTAATTGGATTGAAAGTATTGTCTGGATCAATGAATAAAAATACTATTATTGTACAGAATTAAATAGCACGCTGATATTTATTTATTTATTTTAATTCCGGCAACTTAATATTATTTTGTAGTCATTAGTGGTCCCCATATTTTGTATACATTGCAGACTAGCACATATATAAAAGAATTATATCTAAATTTAAACAAAATGCATCTAAATCTAAATCTAAACAAAGCACAGTCTCTGTGGTTACGACATTGATGATATCACTACCCCTACAGCTACTAGTCTTCCTTCATAAAGGTGGGCAGCATGTTGTGGGGAAACCTGGGCCATAAACGAATAATATTAGAAAATAATTTAATAAAGATATTTGTATAATTAATATATACATTTGAAAAACCATTATAACAAACATGTAGATTAAATAAATTGGTATTTATACCACGGTTAAGGTAATAAATACCTTACCGCTTAAAGCTTACTTTCTACTAATCTATTTATACCACAGGTTTATCTAAGATAAACAAATGTTTGATCAATCGAAACCACAACAATTAAAAACTACAAAAAACTGTATCAACTGTGTTTCCCGTCTTTTTAATTATATCATTTTAAACAATATTATGTGCCTTTTTCCTGTTCAAACGCCTTTAATGTCTGATCTTGTCATTCAAGTTCAAGATTTAGTCTGCGAGCGACGCGCATACTTGTTTGTAGTAAAAATTAACATCAGGACTCACTTTGTCCATTGATACTAAGTACAATTCATTATGTGTACGTTTATTCTGAGGATATATTTAATAGGTGAATATATTTTATACTTATATTACTATACTAATACGACACTATTGTACCGTTGTAAACAGGTAAAGTTTATTACTTAGGATGTTCGGGATAAATTCTTCGGTACTACTCATCCGATTTTGACAATTCTTTTAGTTTTAGTATTAGATAACCCATTTAACCCAATAAGGTTTTATCTTATGGATGATAATGTAATGGTGCACCTGCCTGCGCTACCGTTTATGCTGGCGGGGCACCATTGAAGGATGATAAGATGAGTATGAAGTCAAGTCAGTTAGCCCGTTGTAGTAAATTCACCATGAATTTATCATGGTTTCTAGAGGAAGTACGTGGAGGTCCACCTGATATGGTACATAGCTAGCATAGTAATGGGATTATTAGTCCACATTACTAACAATCCCCTTTCCCCAACACAATAAGGTTAGCTTCATGTTACGACCAATTATATAAGTTTATAAGTTTTATTAACTGAAATCAATGAGGACCGGGTAGAATAAAATGGCAAATAAGCTGACAAGCTACCTGATGGTGATATGGATTGTATTATATACGTATTTGTATGGATAGTATGACGGTATATGTAATACCGTACTGATATCATCACGTGACACCTGTGATAGTACTCATACGTTAACAGTCCTGACAACTAAGATGTTTCATGCATATTCGTCACCAGATAATACACGAATAATTTTAAGATAAATAAAGCCATTTATCTCAAATTTTAAGACCCGGTAACAATATATAATACATTAATAATGTATATTAAACACGAAAGTTTAAAAATAAGAGTGATAGTGAGATTCTTTATATGATTTTGAAATTCTCTTTGGGTGTATATAACACGATATATTTGCCAAAACTATATAATATTAATACCATACCTATTTTTAATGGAGTGGTTCCGTATAAATTTTTAGCACATATTTTTTTGTTTTTAGTCAAAATGAACATATTTATTACTCATTTTAAAATATCGGTCTGGGTGATTTCTATGCATAATATTTATGTATTTACAAAAAATATATATCTATGTATATGTATCAGTTATCTAGTACCCATAACACAAGCTCTAGCTAGCTTAACTTGGGTCTAGATGGAGCTGTGTGAATTGTCCTAAGATTATAATAATTATTATATTAAACATATTAAAAATAGATTTTTACAACAATTGCTTCTGCGACAAACCGTTTGCAAGATGTTAATAAAACTAAAAATATTTCTAGTGAGTAGTGAGAACTGGAAATAACTAGTTTCACTACGAACCCGCGATACTTGAATCTAGGGTTGCCATCCGTCCGGCTTTCCTGGACTTGTCCTAGTAGTAGAGGGCATTCGGGGATCTTCCGACGTATTTTTTAGGTTTAATATTAAAGTAAAAAATCGAACTGATTATTAAATCATAATTAATAAATTTATAACAAACTGTAATAACATTCTGTTTTGTTAGGTTACCTTATTTATTAAATTACTACATTCAATTTTAAGGTCAGAAGATAAATACAGAGATGATTCATGATATTAATAACTGTTTTTTATTACACTATATACTAAAAAACTTGGTGACATGTAAAACCCGGGGTTCTCACGCGTCTTGTCTTGGTTTCTAAATTTTAGAGATGGCAACCCTTCTTGACACATGTTATTTATTTTTGAATCGTTTTATTCAACGACTCGAAACGTCAGTTGATTATCGAGCACTGCTATTAATGTGAAAATAATGAGTACTTGAGAAGGTATATCTACTACACGAGATGACTGACTCATTTATCCGTTACATCATCTATCCATGCATATATATAAAGTCATATTTATTTACCGCTAACTATGAATTATAATAGATTTTACAATATTATTACCACAATACCTTTTAAGTGCTTCTTTAGAATTGCATTTTTGAAATATGAAAAATTAATTCAAGCTAACTTTACGAAATTAAAAAACATATATATTGTTAGGTTTTTGTCTCTTTGTCTGTGCAGTTTATTCTATTTTAGAAACAAACTAATGTGAATGCGATCTTCACTGTCACATTGTAGGAACATTTTCGTAACATATATTTTTTTTTTACCTATCAATTCAAAATAAATAAAGTAATAATAACTTAATAAATAAATAATGTAATTCACACAGCGCCATCTAATCCCAAAACAAGCTAATGTAACGTAAGTTATTTCAAACACCAAGAGTACCAAGTCACATGCTCAACTAGTACATAAGTTACGCCTTCTTGTAATTTGTTAGTAAATTACATTGTTTATAACAAATAAACCTGTTTCTGGCATTCAACTCGTTAAACTTAACGATGTCTAAATCCAGTTTAATTTAGATACACTAACGAAACCAGTTTCTATTATAAATAATGTAGGCAAGTAGTAATAAAGGTAAGTACACATGTACATAAACAACTATATTTATTTTTAACTAATTAGTAATACCATAAGTACGAAAGAGACAAAAGAGCAACTAAACAGTATAGTGGATTCAGTATTTTGTATTTGTTACTTTACTCACGCAATATTTTATAACCTCTAAGGCTCTATAATTTTATGCGAAATAATGTTCAATGACCTCGGTCGTGTTATGATTGATGTTTTTTGTTTGTATGACGTTATGTAATTACTATAATTATAGTGATGTGGAATTAAACGTTTAATGAAATTATATCATTGTAATAATTTCGATTCTTGTTTGTTTACTACTGGTACCACAGAACAGAAGGCTTCTCTGTTCTGTGACAGTTACGAATAATCACGTCGCATTATTTATAAAACGTGTAGCGTAAGTAGGTATATATACATATATAAAGTCATAGATTATAAAACTACCACTACCTATCGCACTGGTGTACAATGTATTAACGAAGGTAGTATGACTACAAGCATCAACAATTATAAAAATTAACCTTTCAGAATTATTTTTTAAAGAGACAGTGTATAGTGTATAATTCGATGCGTGATTTCGAAAAAGCTTGAATTTTTTTTATATTATTTATAAATGTGTATAATAGATTTATTATTAAAAATTTCAGTTGCTGTAATACAAGTTTTACAGGCGACAAAAGAAAATGTTTCTAGAGTTAAACGGGTAAGTGTATTTTAATATAGACCAAATGAGAAGCAAAGGGAATAGTGCATTAACCTTAACTAGACATTAAGAATTTCGAAGCATATCAATTTAGTTTTCCCCATTCTGAAAGTGGTATATATACAATCAATATATATAATAGTATAATAATTATGAATACTTAGTATAGTAGTAGGTATAAATACTTAGTAAAAACAGCATTATATTATGAAAAGAAAAAAAAAATAGAAAATCGACATCACAGCGAAACTTGTAAATCGATATTTCAAAATATATATATTTCGAGGTATTTTTTTATGGTAATGGTAGAATGCTCCCGCCTGTGCTTACGGTTTACGCTGCCGGGGCACCAGTGGAGGATGATAGGATGAACATTAGATCAGGTCATTTAACCCATCGTGACAAATTCACCAAGAATTTATCAAGATGGTTTCCAGGGGTAACCGCGTGGAGGTCAACGTGACATTGCTACCAATGGGGTTATTAGTTCATATTCTTAACAATCCTCTTCCCCCCATTTTCGAGGTTCAATATCGAGTATGCGATTTATGTACACACACTTTTGTCAAGTCAATGTGGTTAAGTCAAACTAGATTAACCTAGGCTAAACTAGTTTGTCCTGAAACGCTTACAATGAACCGGTTTAACATAGGAGAATCTAGTTTGGACTGCAATCAAGTATGGTTGGCCATATATACATACCTATAGCGGAACCCAAAGCCTTAAGCAATTTCTCAAAATTTCTATCATATCGGGAGATGTACTATTTCCAGATTTAATCTAATTTCAATATGTAATAACTTCTTCTTCTCAGACTAAATCTTTTATTCTATTTTATCATAATCTTCTTTCAGCATGGAGAAGGGTGGGATTGGAGTTATATTGATTCACTTGACACAACGCCTTCTGTAAGTAATAAAGTAATTTAAACTTTATTCACGATCGTTTGAGATTCAAGATTAAATATCCCATTTACATAGGTATATATAGCGTTGAAACCTTCAAGAAAAGAGCTAATTCCTTTTTAAAAGGCCGACAACGTACTTGCAATTCCCTTGGTGTTGCGGGTGCTCATGGGCGGCGGTAATCACTTACCATCAGGTGAGCCGCATGATCGTTTGTCCCTGTGTCATAAAAAAAAACCGTATATAACATTATATATACCTACGTAAACGGGATATTTACCGTGATAAAATTTTTTGGATGATATTTACGTATTATTTTACCTGATAATATTTACGAGGTAGTAAGGAAGATGTTCATATCTTTAGATCCATCTAAAGATTGAAAGTTCGAATTTAGCAACGACGTATTATTTATATTTCTGAACTAAATGCAGAATATTTTTTTTTCGATATGTCATGTGTTCACCGCTACGTTTTATTAGTAATAGTTGATAAATAAACATATATAATATATATGTATGTACATATAATGTATATAATAAGATTCCTTTTTTATAATATTTAGATTATTCACCTATTATAATGTTAATAGGTTTTTAATTTTATGTAATGACAATAACGGTCACAAATCGCTGAGATTTTAAATAACAGAGTATTATAGATTTAAAAATCATTTTTTCAAATATACATAATTAATAAATATTATACCTTACAATAGTAATAAATCATGATTAATGAGCGAAATAATTAAAGGGCAGTTTCCTTGTCTTTAGAATTAATATAAGATATTTATTACAGATAACCGTTAACCAGAGATTATTAGCACCCACAACAACAACAACAACCACAACAACCACAACAACAGCGGCTCCGTGTCTTGAACCACCATCCGTTCAACCAAACTTCCACGCTCCTGGCCGCAGAATAAGCACAACAAGTTAATCACTATACCTTACTATTCATAACATAATACCTTAATTTAATATATAGCAAAGTAGAGAACGGAATTCTTATTAATATGGACTAATAACTTATAGCTAGCAATGTAACAATGTATGTCATGTTGACCTCATGAGTATATTCACAAGTATGATTGTTTATATCTGGGTGTTTTCTATACATATTATGCATGAATTTATAAAGTTCATTTAAGTATTTATATCTGTTATATAGTACAAATAAAGGGGTTCTATTTGGGACTAGATGACGGTGTGTGATTTATCCTACTATTAATATTATCATATTGACTAAATAAACAATCAACTACCTTCATCTATCAGATTAGGATAACTAAAAAGGTAGATTTTGTTAAACCTGCAGTTAAATTTACTGATTGAATGGCAATATGAAGTATTTTGTTTTTGTTATTTTTTATATAATTATTACTATTAATGGGCTGTAATAAACCGTCAAGTATCTCTTTACTTTCCTATGTTATTAATTAGGGTGTACATGTATTATATATGTATATATAAACCTCCTTTCTTCTTTAACGTAGTTGTAAAGATTTATGTTTACATAGCTACGGACAGACTGCGACAGCGCCAGCGACAGCGACAGCGACAGCGACATTGTTTAAACTATATATTGATTTATATTATTTTTTTCTGCATTTCACAGAATGCTATGAATACATCTGGCAGTTAAAAGATCGAATAGATCAAATAAAAAAGGATGAAAGATGTAAGTAAGAAAATTTTAGAACTGTAATGATAGACTTTGTAGACTCTTCTACAGGATATAAGACGTAACATTTTAGCACTCCAAAAAGGCAATGCAAGATTGGTACCACCACAGGCATCATGATAACATGATGTAAACTCTGCTGTTCATGTATGTAGGTAATATTTAACATCAGATAGGCCGTCAGCTTGTATAACATTCCAATTGAGCACTTTAAAAAAATGTAAATTCAATTTTATGTAATACTAGCTGGAATTTAAATTTATTTGTCTAAATAAAAGTAGCCTAAGTTACTCCTTATTACATCAGCTACCTGTCAATAAAAGTCCCGTCAAAATCGGTCCAGCCATTTCAGAGATTATCCGGAACAAACAGATATACAGACAAAAATTGTAAAAACAATATTTTGGTGTATGTACCGTATTTATTCCATATGCATGTAGCAAAAAACTGTTATTTCAATAATACAAACAGATATTCTAATTTTATTTATATGTATAGATACATATAGGAACAATATTCCTACTAATTCAAGCTGTGTTCTAATGTTATAAATTAGGAAGTGTCAAGTAACAAAGTAGCATCTAGTAATTTGTTTGTCTATCAAAATTCATGTGTTTAATTAAGATCCAGTGTGTATTCATAAAAATTTAATTAATTTATTATTCACATTATATTAGATTATAATATTTATGTATTTACAGGTGCAAACTACCGACGCAAGTTTTGGGGAAATCGCTTTGTAATCGGAGGTCGGGTTACAGAACCCGGGGAATTTCCACACATGGTACATACTGCATTTTCCATTCATTTATTAAAATCGAACAGGATTGACGACACCGCCTAGCGGTGCCCTCAGATTAAAGTCGTATCCGTCAGGCGGGAGTTGGCCTTCAGCCGCTCCATAAGTCCATCCGCGGGTTTGGAGTGCCATCTGCACTCGCCCCCTATCATCCGGTGAATCTGTAAAGGCCAACTGCGGCCAAAAGCATTAGAGTAGTCCAAAACAAAAAGTCGTGACTTTATGAGTCTCTAGAGGTAGATTTTATAAGAAATTGTTTATATGGGTACCTCAGTCTCACCTATTTCAGGCGCTAAGCAGCTTGTTTTTTAAACAGTGCTTCGGTGTGATTAGAAGAAAAATTGGAGGATAAAAACCATGACATATTAATAATTTAAAAGAACTTATGTAATGAAAAGGCCTCCAGTAGTGCCGCAGTGTATCAACGATTTTCATTGGAGACATTCAGATTAGTATGAGACTAGGTGGAGCTCATAACTTTTTTTTTGTAATATTAATGGTAGTAAACATGCATACAAGTTTATTATTATCTAATAATATTTTATTCCACAGGGTGCTATAGGTTGGAGAGGTGTCACTGAAACATGGTTATTTAATTGTGGGAGCACCCTTATTAGCCCCAACTTCGTGCTAACTGCTGGTCATTGTATAAAAGCATCTCCCAGGGATACCAGAATTGCAGATATAGTTCCAAAAATTATAAGATTTGGTGTTAAGAACCTTAAAGATACCAGTGTAAGTATATTTACTTTTTACCACTACGCGCGGTAAAATTAATTGTATTTTTTTAAATAAAAAACTCCCTGCAAATGTAGCTTGTTACAGATAGACAGTAAGTGTTTTTTAATCTGTCAATGATATACTGTATCTACCCATTATAAACAATCAATCAAACATACATAAAAATCAAATGAACATTGTTAGTAAAGATAGCGAAAAAATTACATAGATACAGCTTGCTGATAAGTGCCGACTAGCGGTAAACTCTTCCAAAAGAATTTATTACTAAAATTATTGAGCTCCTTACTAACTTAATCCATTTTTGAAGTAATTGAAATGATAATCAAGCTAATTGCCAATCTGATGGTAAGTGGCAATGAACAGCACTAAGGACGTAATGTTATTATAAACAATTCAAATGCAATATATTTTCAACCGAATCTTCCTTTAATGCTAACCGTGCACCACGCGGTAGCAATATACCACGATCATATACGATAGTTATATATGTATACATTAAAGTGCATGTATCAAAGATTAATTTCCCCAGGATTCTACTGACAGAAATATCTCTAGAATCATACCTCATCCTCAATACAAACCACCGAAACAATATTTTGATATCGCTTTGATGGAAATTGAAAGTCCAGTAGACTTCAGTAAGGTGATACAACCGGCTTGTCTATGGAGCAGTAACCATGAAAGTTTTGGATCAAAAGCCACAGTCACTGGGTGGGGCGTTTATAGAAACGGTAAATGAATACTATTTACCTTATTAAATAAAATTATATTATTTACAAATACCACGTATATTGATTTCTATTTTTTTTAGAATTAGGCTTAATGCAGCAGTCTATCTAATAGTAAATCATTCATTTTATAATAAATATGGTTAAGTGAGTCTTACTACGAAAAAAATTGTGGTTAAAAAAAAATAGCGATTTATAACACCGCTCTGTTTCCAATGGTCGCATCGTTTGATTCCTCGCACGATACAAACATTTGTGTACTGTTTGTTTTACTACTTATTGGCTCTCAGACATACATTAAGTTCTCACTCGCCGTTCACAGCTCAATGGCCTCATGATGCCAGCAGTGTGCGCTAAAGACGGTATAATGCTTCCTTCTCTTTCCCACATATACTACATTTACTACATCTCTTCAATAATATCAGGTAACCGTGACACATCGGACGAACTGCAAGCTGGTGATATAAACATAATAGACTCTAGTAACTGCAACCAGCTGTTAAAATCCTCAACCAACAGACATTGGGTTGGATTTTTGGACAATCAGCTCTGCGCTGGGAAACTAGATGGTGGTATCGACGCCTGTCAGGTACGCAATTTATAGTTTGTTAACTTTGAAATAGTTTTAATAACATTTTGTTTTCAGTCCTATTATCTTAATCGACGATCTCGTTGGTCTAGAGGTTAATCACACCGCTTGACCTCCGATGGTCGTGGGTTCAATTGTTTGCATGCTTCAAACATTTGTATTCAAGAGTACGTTTGTTTGTATCGGTATCGGTGTTTTTTATGGTAAAAGAAAATATTTAAATATATCTATCAGTTGTCTAGTACCTATAACACAAGCACTGCTTAGCTTGGGACTATATGGCGATATATATTAATATTATTACTTACCATAATGTAATAATAGTTATAGGATACAACTAGTATTCTATAACTTCTAAGCAACAGGGAAATCAGCATTTCCTGCTCATTATCTGCTTCTTCCTTATCCCATTCATTTTGGGTCGGCGTAATATGTTTTTAAGATGATGAATTGAAGTAACAATGGATTAATTATTTTTCTTAATTTTTTTATTATTACATTACAGGGTGATTCAGGAGGACCGTTGCAAGTAAAGATTCCATTACCAGAACCATACGATAAACGTGAGGGGACTGTACATTACGTCGTTGGAATCACGTCGTTTGGCATTGGCTGCGCTCTTCCGAACTTACCCGGAGTATATACCAGAGTGTCTAGCTTTACCGATTGGATCGAAAGTATTGTTTGGAATCAATAAAATATATCTTGAAATCTCATGGTTTTATTAATTAAAAATAGTGTAACAAAAAGGCATACAAACACTATTCAACACCGAGTTATAAAAAAATAACTATGTAAGTATATATAAATCAAATATACTAAAAATAGCCAAACCTACCAAATATACTAATACAGATTAATTTTTGGAAAAAAAATATATAATTTATGTTACACGAATCAAATATAATACTGTAGTTAAGAGGCCTTTCACATTTTTTGGCATAAAAGCGGGGTCTTTGGGGTTCTGGTTCTAAGAAATTAAGAGTCGGATATACATTTTGATTTGATCTGAATTATATATATAGATATCTTATCTTAAAAACTACATCTTTGAAATGTTAATTTTCTCTTTATTAGTCTTCCTCATTTCTAAAATAGTTTATTCAAAAACGCTAAGAGACAGAAGTTTGGGGTCGTCGTTCATTAATAAACAAACATAAATTGATATGATATCTTTACTAAAACTTGATAATTACTTTATAAATTGAGACAGCATCGTCCTTTTTTTTATTTTCAACTTAAATATCTAAAAAATTGATCATAATTAAACCCGAAATTTCAACAAAACTTTGCCATAATCATTTCTAATTTTCTCATAAATACAACGAAATTTTTGCATAAAAAAAACATAATAATAAAGTTAATATACTTGTAAATTAGAAATATAAAAAAAATATATAAGTTTCTAAGAAAAAAATAAACAATAATAATAATTTAAAGTTGTATAAATTCCGTTGCGCCAAAAGTAAATTCTCAGTGCTGCGCTAGCGCTCGTCGAGGTAGGATCTATGCCATTTTTTACGACACCGCTACGATAAGACATTCGTAAACATTTGTCAGTGAACATTACTATAGTGCGACTAAACAATTTTGATAATTTAAGTAATATTTAATTAATTTTGCTAATACATACTTATATTTCTACGAATATTAATTTAAAGTTGTTGTTTAATATATATATAATATTTATTTTAGCATGCCAAGACAAAAGTACAGTTATGCTACAGATAAAACCTACCTACCCTGCTGCACTATGAAAAGCACAAGAGCATGGTATTTCGTCACACTAATGGCAATTAATTGTTAAAAATAAAAAAAACCATTTTTAGTATTTTTAAAAAAAACTGCTTATCTGAGAGAAAAATGTAAGAAAATGTAAACGAATTTTACTTTATGTTTATTTTGTAGTTTTTTCTAAATTAAAATAGGGTTATTGTTTATAAAAATACCATTATTATTTTTACGTACATTTGTCTTGTGTTATATAATCTAGTATGCAATGTGGATTGTAAATAAATTACCAAATTATATATAAATTATATTCCTTAATGTTTAGAGATATTTTATCCAATTTACTTTATTTTATTTTACACAATACAGATATTTCTAAATTGCAACCATTGTGTTATTATACTCGTTGGACTTTCATTACTGTACAGTTATGTCAAATAGTCTAATAATTATGTGTCTTTGGGTGATAAGTCAACAACATTATAAATGTTTTTATTTAGAGACTAGCTTTCAGCTGGTGGCTTCGCCCGCGTGAACATGGGATATATAGATTATCGCGCGTTTAAAGATCCGTGTACAGTATTGGGACGTTATATATAAACCTTCCTCTTGAGTCTATCTATTCTGTCTATTAAATAATAACGAATCAAAATCTGCGTAGTTTTTTAAGATCAAAACATACATAGATCTATTACATGTGTAGAAGACATTTTAACTTTAAAATGGTATTGGCAGATCATTTGGAATCATCGGTATTCTTGGTATATGAGCTGGTTGCCCAGCTAACGTACCGGTTATAATGGTCTACAATTAAATTGTCTTTCAATTCTTTAGTAAGCAACATATCCAATGGGACGCCATTGCACATGTTCGGCGGGCTTAAATTTCATGATTGGATCATGCTTTTGAGAATTCCTTCCTCAAGTTTGAGCAGTTAGTGTAGGAAATCACTATCTGTGCTTCCATAAAAATGGGCTCTCATATTTGTCAGTAGTTTTAAACTTTCAATTAAAGTCCATAAGGGAGACGATGTTAATGACACAGAGAGTCTTTCAGAAATCTCCAGCAAAAGTATAAAAGTAATCCCGCCAATGAGAGCAGAGGTGTTTCTAAGGTCTTTTAAGGTTCTGGCCAAAGTCTCTATAGCTCATGGTGATTTCATTCCATATAAGCAATGAGGCGTCTTGTAATAATCTATAAAAAGTTTTGATATTAACACGTAATTATTTGTCAAGAATCAAGATCCGGCCAACCAAGAACGAGAATCTGCAATATCAGCCAATCATGCGGCGACGTCAATGATGCAGGAACAGCAATGATAGCAGTTGAAGCTTTTTTTATACAACTTAGAATGGCAAACAAGCTGACGGTCCCCCAAGCATTGCCATTCCTGAGAATGTGAGGTTTTATTCCTGAGGTGTTATTCCCCTGTACCCTGTAAATTCACTGCCATATATATATACACAGATAGTCTATATAGATAGATATACATATACACAGATAGTATACCTTGAGAAAGGTCATAGACTACTTTATAGTGCGAAAAAGGGTTGTAAGGGATTGAAAGCGGAGATGACAGGTTGTATAAAAGTATCGTCATTGTTTAAGTGAAACAATGAAACTTTTTTGGGTTATAATCTAAATATATTTCCTTTATTTGGTAAATTTCATTATACCACGTTGACGAAGTCGCGGACACACCTAATATACATATAAGGATGGGAACTTTAAATCGAAACAAAGGCGTGAAAACACAACTATTATATATAAATAAAATAATTATTTGCCTAAGTTTAATATTTAGAACAAGTGAATATGGCAATAATGCATCCGACTCTTATAATAAATTATCTTGTATTTATTAATAAATAAATTTAATTAATATATAATAAGAATTAATTAGTACATTTATGTTATAGTAATTTCATCTTCCTGTCCTTATCCCAATTATTTGTTACTCATATTACTTAAGGTTTTGGCTTTTAGTTATACAATCGGCCAGCATCCTGACTTCAACCCTCTAGGAATAATATAATAAAAAAATATGGTCATTATTAGCACTTTGATAATTAATATAAATCACGTTATTTAAAAAAATCCAATAAATAGTTTATGTTACTCAGTTAAGTAAAAACATATCACATTATTAATTAAAATATTACAAGGATCAAAATGGTTCATACTAAATCCACACCGATTGCGCTACACGTTTATTTGCGTCTGTGTGCGTGTATTACTGTGTGTGTGCGTAAATCCATACGATTAAACCTAAAGTTGACCGGCATCATTTTGTAATAGTCCTCTTAACTAAAAAGCGAAAGATTTAATCATTGATAGTGGTCAGGCCGTTAAGATATTAATTTGAATTCCACATACCAATAGTTTACTTAACTGATTAACTTTAGATACCTATAATCTATTTGTCATCGATAGCCTAAAATTCGGTCGTATTAAGCACTAGAATTCAGGAATATATAACTGGCCGCAAATAAAGCGAAAATTCTTTTAAATAAAAAAGAGGAAAAAATAGAATATACGTCCGCCGCGCGCCCCGTCTTCTGTTATTGTTAATATTATAAACTAGAAACACACATTTTAAGGCGCAGAGCCGTTTTCTTCATTGAATAATTATTTTTTCCTAGACGAAGATACCGTCTGTGCACTGTTGTACAAACTATTTCGGCGTATCATGGCGTTCATTATATCCCGTAAGAGTTCTCTGCTATCCGAAGATCTTATACCTAGACAATTGTTCTTTAACAGTGATTGCTGGTCAGTGCGTACAGTTATATTGTGGGTATTTACTGCCGCGCAGTCAGAGACTATACAAGTTTGTACAAGAACGGCCTGTATGTCCGGTTAAGTTCCCGCGTATATTGACTCTTACACGCCTCTTTATTAGATAGATTAAAAAAGTATGAGACTATTTAGAACTGTTAAAATTTGAACTCGAATATTATAAAAAATATTATTACTTCTATCTTCTATTGATTTCAATTAAAAAATCATATTTGTTGAATGTGAATTCATATTAGAATTATAACATTAACATATAGATTATATGAATTATATGGATTATAAAATAAATACTACGTTAGTTTATTATTAAAATATTATCATTTTTTAATAATTAAATAATAGTTGGGGGAGAACAATAAAGTATTTTTTTTTCTTTAATCTTATAAATTTCTATGAGAGCCAGTATTCCACAATATTACTTTTGTTTAATTTTACGTTTTCCCCTAATATCTTAAACCTTTTTTCCTGATACAGGTATTTCTATGCTTACTAGATCATGCCAATACTATGTAATTGTAACCGAATTGTTTTTTAAAGAAATAAACATTTTTAATTTTCATTTTTCATCAAGTAATCTTTCTGCACAATAAACCTATAAGAAACAATATAGTTTTTTTATCTGACTGATAATTTCAGCATTTCAAAAAAAATGTACAAAGTTATATATTAATCAGACAATCAGAATTAAAGCATTTAAATAGATAAATAAAAAAAAACAAGATATCAAAATCCCAGAAAAAAGTTTTGGTAGCCTTCTGTCTTTTGAATAGTTGCATGTTTGATGCAGTACGACGAGTATTTTTCCTGTTCAAGCGCCGTTAAAGCCAGATCTTGTCATTCGGGTTTAAGGTTTAGTCTGTGGCGCTCATATTTGCTTGTACTGAAAATTAACATAAAGAAATCATAAGTTTGTTGATCGCTAGTGCAAACCGTCATGTCCATGTTTATGCTGAAGATATATTTTATAGGTGAATATTATAATTTCAATATTATAAATACTTTTATTAAACTATTTGTTAATTTTTTTTTTGTTGAATCCGTATTCTTCATGTGCGGTAGAATAAAAGAATTAACCCTATAAAAGTGCTTAATTTAAGTTTATTCGAATAAAGAAGTGAATAATAATATTTGTATTTAAAATAGAAGCGACTATCTTGTATATTACAGACTATATTTTTTACAATTTATTTTAATATCTCATGCAATTTTTGCCAAAATTGATTTTAGAATTAATAAATTATAAATATAGCTTAAGTTTTTCACTAGTCATAAAGTGATTATTTTCTAATAATTTTCAAATCTATTGTTTAGTATATCGGGTAAGTATAAACTGGTATGCAGAATAGACACAAAGAAAATTATGTCACGCAATAATCTAACTGAGATTTTAACCCTCGTTAATTGTTCCCATACCTGGAAAGACAAGTGCAGAATCGCATTCGGTGGCGAACTCTAGGGAAGCTATAATCTGAACAGAAGGATAACTTTCACGTATCGTCATCTGCTTCTTCCTTTTCTCATTTATTTTTGGTCGGCTTTATATATTTTTCTCTTTCATTCATCCCTGTTCGCAATCATATCATTATTTACTCCTTTTCTTACCACATCTTCTTTCACACAGTCCATCCATCACTTTTTTGGCCTTGCTATCCCTTATAATTATTAGGCACATTGATTGAAGTAGAAAAAGTATAATCCATCACATTTAAAATAAGTATTGTTGCTAAGTAACAGTTTGTGTCTAACTTGCAACTGCAATCGGAACGAAATAAATTATATTTACAACTGTATACGTAATCCACTGAATATCTCTATCAAAGGGGGCGGTATAGGTCCAACAGAAATTATTAGTATTTTAACAGATTTAATTTTGGATATGTTTTTTGCTAGTAGTTCTATTGTTTACTCTTCTGTATATTGTTTTATATTATGTATGTTATTTAAATGTAGAGATGTAGAATGTCTTAAATGTAATGGATTAAGGGACCGTATTAGGCACATTGATTGAAGTAGAAAAAGTATAATCCATCACATTTAAAATAAGTATTGTTGCTAAGTAACAGTTTGTGTCTAACGTGCAACTGCAATCGGAACGAAATAAATTATATTTACAACTGTATACGTAATCCACTGAATATCTCTATCAATAATCATCCACATTCATATGTAACACCTTCCTTAAAATATTATCTTCATTCCAATGCATTACATGTGCATACCACGATAGACGATTACTCTTTAACCTCTCCGATACTGGCGCCATTTTTACCAATGTCAAATAATTCTATAAGATTATCCTTATAATATTATAAATGCGAAAATAACTCTGTCTGTCTGTCTGTCTCGCTTTCACGTCAATACTACTAAACTGATTTAAATGCGAGAGTCGGCTCCATCATGTGGCAGAGAGGAAACTCCGAGCAGTTCCCCGTACTTGTAACATGGGTATAGGTTTATAGGGCTCTTGCCGACTTACGTCGACACTCACCTTCATTGTTCGTGTTTCTCTCCCTGCATAGACAAATCTTACATGAGCCTACTAGTGCTATAATACACATTCCAGGCGAGTGCTTTAGTATATGTCCTAGAATAGATCGCAGTATAGATAGACGAATATCTTTTAAAAAAATATAGAGAGAAGTCGCTAGTATATCTGTCGCTCCCAGTTCGACTGCATTTAAATTACAATCTAATATTACAGCCATTTCTATTATTGGTGTATTAGTCTTTCTAGTAATATCACGATGTAGATATTCAAGATATTCAATGAATATTTATAATGTATATTGATAACATGAAATATTATAGATAAGTTAAATGAAACTAGCTTTTTTCCTAGAAGGAAAATTATTCTAGTTAATAAGTGCATTGAAAATTTCCTTATAGAACAAAAATAGTTATCTGGTTTTCTATTAGGAAAATACTGTCAAATATTATTACAACTTGCCAACTTATATTATTAAAAGTATTTTATATTATACTACGGAACACAAATCCTCGGAACGGTGAGGTTACATCCGATGAAGCCTGTTAAAACACCACGAGATTTTTGCGCTTCTGGGAGGAGCTTGGCTGGCTACTTTAGTAACACAACGACCCAGGCGAAAGCCTAAGTGTAGAGAATGGACTCCAATTTATATTTACATTTTTGTTATACTAAGGAATATTGTTAATAAATTAATATTAATGTATAATGTACGCCTTCTAATATGGTTGAGTGCAATGATGGCTGGCTCATTCATCATATTCGTGACGGGTGCTGGTTGTGGGGACTGGTCTGTTCGGGTTACGAACACTGACTATTTGCTTTTGCAATAGCATATGCTGGTAGTCACTCTATTCTCCCAAATTTGAATTAAAAAATGAATCTGTATATTATAAACATGTACAACTACTGTTTGAAAAGGATACGAGCTGAGTTTCTTGTCAGTTCTTCTCATCTCCAAATCATTCCGAACTAACGGTAGATTTGACATATCATAAGAGTCTTTAATAGACCTACATGAATAAATAATTTTAATTTTAATTTTTTTTAATTTGTTATTTGATGTTTTCAGTTGCTGCAATACAAATCGTACAGGCGACAAACGAAAATGTTCCTAGAGCCAAACGGGTAAGTGTATTTTAACTTCATATGCATAGTACTTACAAAACACATCCTTACTAATATTATAAATAAAAATGTATGTTTCTGTCTGTTTTCACTCATAAATGGTTATAATCACGAGAAAGGACACTTTCACGTGACTTCATCTACATTTTTGATCTGAAAATGTATTTCATTAATATCCATTCAACCTCGTTTAATTCTAAAAAAGTAACAAACAAATAGATAAACAGACATGTAGTGACATTTATAATATGATTCTGGTTTAGTATGTAAAGTTAGATTACAATAATTCATGTTTACTAAGCTAACGAAATGTATGTATGACCTATATTGACTATCAGTTTAAAATTCCAAAAATCAATGCCTTTTCTAGTATGAAAATGGATATGGGTGGAACTGGAGTTCTATTAGTTTACAAGACACAACGCCAGTAAGTAAAATAAAATGCATATTAAAATATTTATTTTTGCAATTAGACCTTTGCAGGCACTTTTACAATTAATCAACAAAAAAATACAAATATATTACATCTCTAGATTTTTTTAATAAGAAAATTATTTCATAGAGGCATAGGTAATGTAACACATTATACAAAATGAAGGTGATAGAATGAGTGAACTGTATGTGTCATGTAAATCAAACAATGGATAGAAAATGGTAAATACTTATAATGAAGATTGGTACTTGTACAAACGGTTGTAGGCAAAAAGTGACAATAAAAATATATGACAATTCTAAATTAAAATACATTTAAAATCGATAGAAAAATAAACATATAAAAATGTGCAAAGAGTTTGCAACACACAATACTATTTACATTAACGGTACGCTTAACCATTATAGTTATTTCTAGTTTGTATTTACATTTATTAAATATTTTATATCTAATGATATAAATAATACCACGCAATAAAAACCTACATAATATAGTTTACTTACGGACATTCAGGCCAAAAACCGTGATTTCAAATAAATATTAATAGAAGTTATCTTTATTCAAATAAACTTTTAACTAGTCATATTTTATTAATTCTACCACTCATCTCGAAATCATTCCGAACTAACGGTAGATTTGACATATCATAAGAGTCTTTAATAGACCTACATGAATAAATAATTTTAATTTTAATTTTTTTTAATTTGTTATTTGATGTTTTCAGTTGCTGCAATACAAATCGTACAGGCGACAAACGAAAATGTTCCTAGAGCCAAACGGGTAAGTGTATTTTAACTTCATATGCATAGTACTTACAAAACACATCCTTACTAATATTATAAATAAAAATGTATGTTTCTGTCTGTTTTCACTCATAAATGGTTATAATCACGAGAAAGGACACTTTCACGTGACTTCATCTACATTTTTGATCTGAAAATGTATTTCATTAATATCCATTCAACCTCGTTTAATTCTAAAAAAGTAACAAACAAATAGATAAACAGACATGTAGTGACATTTATAATATGATTCTGGTTTAGTATGTAAAGTTAGATTACAATAATTCATGTTTACTAAGCTAACGAAATGTATGTATGACCTATATTGACTATCAGTTTAAAATTCCAAAAATCAATGCCTTTTCTAGTATGAAAATGGATATGGGTGGAACTGGAGTTCTATTAGTTTACAAGACACAACGCCAGTAAGTAAAATAAAATGCATATTAAAATATTTATTTTTGCAATTAAACCTTTGCAGGCACTTTTACAATTAATCAACAAAAAAATACAAATATATTACATCTCTAGAATTTTTTAATAAGAAAATTATTTCATAGCGGCATAGGTAATGTAACACATTATACAAAATGAAGGTGATAGAATGAGTGAACTGTATGTGTCATGTAAATCAAACAATGGATAGAAAATGGTAAATACTTATAATGAAGATTGGTACTTGTACAAACGGTTGTAGGCAAAAAGTGACAATAAAAATATATGACAATTCTAAATTAAAATACATTTAAAATCGATAGAAAAATAAACATATAAAAATGTGCAAAGAGTTTGCAACACACAATACTATTTACATTAACGGTACGCTTAACCATTATAGTTATTTCTAGTTTGTATTTACATTTATTAAATATTTTATATCTAATGATATAAATAATACCACGCAATAAAAACCTACATAATATAGTTTACTTACGGACATTCAGGCCAAAAACCGTGATTTCAAATAAATATTAATAGAAGTTATCTTTATTCAAATAAACTTTTAACTAGTCATATTTTATTAATTCTACCACTCATTCGGAATGCAAACTCGTCATAAGAAGATTGAGGAAGAAAGAAGAAAACTTGCATGTTACTCTTTCAATAAATGTTGTCTTAAATACTCATTAAAGAAGGAGCAAACATGCAAAATCAACATAGAAACCGCTACCTGATGATTCTTTGTACAATCAGATAATATAATCAGCACTATGAATATTAAGTTTTTATTCTACAAAAACATTATTATCATTTATAAACTCTACAATTTTAGAATATGTTTTTATACAAATAAAGTTTTTTATACGACATTTTAGTCATTTTTTCTGGAAGATATAGGGTAGACTGGCAGTTCGTCGAAAAACCTTACGCAATTTCTATAAAACGACTTATAAACTTTAGTTAAACAGCATTTAGGTAAATCCAGTTTGTTATTAGTACGCAAATATTTATTGGTCTAAACTAACTTTTTTGCAACTGACAATATTTTTCCTGGCATACATGATATTTTCGTAATTGTACTAAGATGCAACGGTGAGGAAATTTAATTTCTTAAAGCATAGTTTTTGAAAAATTCATACTCTATTTATATCAGCTACTTTACAACATAATAAAATACCATACACCATAATGCTATAGAAATAGCTGAAGTAGACAAGTTTAGCCGTTGTCGTGAAAGTGAAGATGCATTTAGATGTATTTCATAGTGCGTAGAACTATAATAATTTAATCGATATATAACTAACGGTGGTATCTACATATTTTACGATGTAGTGCAAGATGTGGTCACTCATTCTACCTACACACAATTATGGAATCACATCAGTATAATATCTCGGATGAATTTATTATATTAACATATTTTTTACAGTTAATTGTTAGCCAGAGACAATTTACTCCAACAACAACAACACCAACAACGGATGATGTCTATCCGTGTCCTCCGCCGCCGTTAGTCCAGCCAAATTTCACCGCTCCAGGCCGCAGAAAAAGTGTAACAAGTAATGTACCTTCATACAGATATAAAAAATATTAAGTTGTCACTTCATTTTCATACATTCTAAGAAAAATATCTAAATTTAGAAACGATATTAATTACAATATATCAGCAATAGTTTAAATAACGATTAATATGTATTTATGTCTGGATGAATAAAATATAGTGCATCACTTCAAACCTACGGAAGTATTTATGGCACAGGTATACTTCTCACTGACGGGGTTCCATTGGAGGATGATAAAATGAGGATGGTGTCAAGGCAAAGATCTGATGGATCGTGAGGAATTCCTTAAGAACACGATGGTCCAGGAGGCGTGGTTGTCAACTTGATATTGTGCATTACTACCAATAGTAGCCCCACTGGCTCGTAATTCTCCTTACTAATAATCCATTACCACCAGTTAATATATTTGTTAATCTTAGAAATTAATAAAAATATATAATGGATGTGTTAGATTGATGATCTATTAAGAGGTTAAAAAATCTGTAAGAATATTAAAAATACGAAGTAATCGGGTCATCCAGTATGAACTCACGATTTATCGACGTGTCGGAGCAATTACCACAAAACCATGACGCACAAAACCACAGAACAGAGAAGTAAGCTGATCTGTGCTCTTAATGCTTTTCTTTAATTTCACAGAATGTTACGAATATATCTGGCAGTTAAAAGCTCGCGTGGATAAAGCAGATGCGAATAAAAGATGTACGTATGCGATCATAGGCGTTCATTCTGCGTTGTCATCCAGGGATAAGTAAACTGGGAACACCTTTATTCTGACTCCCACACTACATATACTATATACATATGACTCACCTTGCATAATTCTTTAATTTATTTCCGTGTTAATATTTCACTATAAAATAGGTGGTTTATTAACACAAGGCAATCGCTACCACCAACAATTTTACCAATGAATTTGTTGATCAAGTAGTAAATACTACAGTACTAAATCACTTCTTAAATTTCTATATTTATTGTTGTCGTCTGATCACCATCAACAGATGGCATATTCAAATACACACGTATATGAAGTGGAAAACAAATAAAAAAAGTAAAATAAACACTTAAACGATCAAATTTCATTACAGGTAGTAAGTATTATTCGGACGCCCCCTTTGTTTTAGGAGGTCGTAATACAACACCCGGAGAATTTCCTCACATGGTAATTATTGACGTTTTTACTAATTTATTAAGATTATCGAGCCTGTACTTTGTTATATGCGATGCATGGATAGATTTCCTTCAATTATGTACAAGAATTTATTGTTCTTACTCTCTCATAATCAAAATAATTTATTCATATATGACACTGTCATAATCTCATGCAAATCATATTGTTTTACCACTTTCCCTATCTTCCAGTTCGACTGGGAAGTACGTACACCCAGTATTGTAATTAAATGTAATGATTTTTATTCCACAGGGAGCTATAGGCTGGAAAAGTGTTACTGGCACATGGTTATTTAATTGTGGGGGCACACTAATTAGCAAGAAGTTTGTTCTAACTGCTGGACACTGTATAAAAGCATCTCCTTTAGATTCCAGAATTGCTGACCTAATACCAAAAATTATAAAATTTGGGTCTAAGAACTTAAATGTAAGTAATATGTGTTATGAAACGAAGTTCTGAGCATTTCATGGATTCACTGTACGGATGCCTACTGATCTGGTGGCAGAGAAGGAAAATCCGAGCAATTGGACTTGTGACCTTGGGACTTGTGTAGGTTTAAGAGCCCCATTTTCGACATACATTCACCGCTCGTGTTTCTCTCTCTGCCCTGCCGAATCCGGTAGGAGTCTCCTAGTGTAGCTTAGATACACGTTCTAGTATAAAATGCTCTGCAATTCAAGACAAGCCAAAATCTTTTAGAGAGATTTCTCTGATATACTTCTCGCCCCCACTTCGACGGCATATAAATTAACCACATACTCATTTTTCATTAATTAGTTTTATAGTTTGTAATATATATTTTTTATATAACAATACAATGTATAATTATAATCTTATTTACTGCTACTCCAATTGTTAAGTTAGAAAACTACACTTAAACTAATAGATTTAAATTACACCAATACAGTATTCAACTATCTAACCTTACATTTATTTCATTATCATAATGTTCGATATACTTTATCTCACCTGCTACCTGCCCCTTCATTACATATCGATACTTCTTCTGATCTGTAATTTTAGTATTTAATGATAATAATTTACTGCGATCAGCGTACTCGGAATCTATCGATAATTTCTTCTCCGCCCACAATGACGATCTTTTGCCGAAACAAACAAGCTGGTTGGCGGTAAAAATGGTGAGACTCTACTTCGGTAATTATACTAATTATGATATATCTTATTGTGGTGCGCCCATTCTTTCTTTTAGGATGCCTATGAAAGAGATATCGGTAGAATCATACCGCACCCTGAGTATAAACCTCCGAGGCAATATTTTGATATAGCGTTAATAGAACTCCAGTATGAACTATTTTTTAATAAAGAGGTACAGCCAGCATGTCTATGGCCCAAAGTTGATGACAGTTTTGGTAAACAAGCTACAATAACAGGATGGGGTCTTTATGAAAAAGGTACATAAATATATACGTAAAAATATTTTGATTCAATTTTCTTTTTTTTTTAAGTGTTGTGATGAACGACATATTTAACGGGCTCTCATTTTGCTGGGTCTATTTAATAATGACGAGCTGGGGGCGAATCTATTGTAGGCTCTATTGGATGGATATATTCGTCTAATCAGAGTGGCTAGGCGGCCATAATAGGTGACATCGAGATACCCACGCAAGTGACTTTTACAAAGTCTACCGCGATGCAGTTCTATAATATAAACCAGGACGATGATAATAGCATCGAAATGTCGGGATCTTATAAATACGTAACATAGTGACTATTATTATTATTTATTTATTATTATTTTTTTGCATCTATCTCTTCCAGTTAATCAACTATATATATTCTATTTACATCTTACAAATGTAAATATTCATAACAAAGCTAGCGGTATTTTTTTTCCTTACATATGTTAATTTTTTTATATATTGCATATCTGCCAAACAACTTTACGGCCCAAATGGTCGTAAGCAGTAACCATCGTCTATATATGTATATGTACAGCACTACAAAAATCAGGTTATCATGTGACACCTGTAACATTACTCATGCGCCTCTTGTCCTATAACTTATTTGGGTAACCTGCATTCTACAACCGCATATTGCTCTTTTAAATAATTATTGTAACTTTGTTTTTAAGTTGAAATGTGTGAATACAAATTTGCCTACTATTCATTATAATAAAAGGTAGCCTATGTACATGTACTTCGTCATACATTATGTCTACATGTCATTTCATTACGATCTGAACAAGTTTAGTCATGAAATGGTAGCACTAATTCATTTAGAATAATGATGGAGTTACTTTCCCACATTTGACTTATTACATCAGGTAACCGAAACACATCGGTTGAACTACAGGCTGGTGACTTAAGCATCATAGACTCCAGTAATTGCAACCGGCTGTTAAGAACCTCATCGAACAGACATTGGGATGGAATTATGAACCATCAGCTCTGCGCAGGGAAGCTGGAAGGTGGCATTGATGCCTGTCAGGTACCGTTTACCGTTTGTTAACTTCCAATAATTTTCAATACTGATGTTTTTAAATTTAATAGTTTTAAGCTGCTAGCTATATATATATATGTATAGCATTTACCCATTACTTTGTAAAGGTAATCGAGAAATATTGTCTGGTATTATATGTGTATATCCAAGTACTATATACTATATATGATGTGTGATGTGATGTGGGATGTGTGATGTAACAAGAATTGATAAGATAAAGAATGAATACATTAGAGGAAGTATGAAAATGGCACCGGTGTCAGAGAGGTTGAAGAGTAATCGTCTATCATGGTATGGACAGGTTATGCGTAGGAATGAGAATAATATTTTAAGTAAGGTGTTACATATGAATGTGGATGGTTATACGGGGCAGAGGAAGGCCGAAAAAGAGATAGATGGACTGTGTGGAAGATGATATGGTAAGAAAGGAAGTAAATAACGCGATGACTGCGAACAGGGATGAATGGAAGAGAAAAACATATTACGCCGACCACAAATAATCTGTGCATGTATCTCATGACATTTAAGGAATTATAAAACAAATACTAAAAGCGTTGATTGGAAGCCTGTTATAATCATTATATTAAATAATTTCATGTAATAAATGTACACATTTAGACAAAATGCCTAAAAACTATTTTCAAATCAAATCAAATCAAACTTTTATTGCAAATAAAAGTTTGATTTGATTATATTGAAAAGTTTGATTGAAAAATAGTTTAGTAATAATAGATTTTAATAAAGAGCTCTTAGGTTATATGTACCTAAAAGCACTATTATTAGTACAGTATATTAATACAATGTCCAGTGTATTCAGCCTGCATACAGAGGTCCCAAATTTTTATACATTACTAGCTTTTTAGCTGTCGCTATTAAAAAATAGGGGTTGATGATAGAAGGGCGAAAGTTTAGGGTTGTATTTTTATGTGAAATTATAAAAAATTCAGCGAAAAAAAAACGGTTAGTAGGGGTGGGCATTGTCCATATATTGTTCATATATTGTCCAGTGGACAACCCTTATCACATAGGGGTATGAAAAATAGATAGTAATAGTAAAATTTCAAAAAAACTGGTCAAGCCGTTTATGTGGATTATGTAAGTAACATTGTGACACGAGAATTTTATGTCTAAGATTATATTTATGTCATTCTAATTAATGAATAATTTAACCTCAGTAGCATAAGTAGGTACCACTAGTATCACCTATACGTATTGTTTTTTTATATATTAAAACAGACACAGCTCGCTCGCTCTTCGCTCCTCTATGATTTTAATATATATGTATATATTACAGGGTGACTCGGGAGGTCCATTGCAGGTGAGGATCCCAATACCAGCTCCATATGATAAACGTGAAGCGCAGATGCACTACGTCATTGGAATCACGTCCTTTGGCATCGGCTGCGCTCTACCGAACTTACCCGGAGTGTACACTAGAGTGTCCAGCTTCCTGGATTGGATCGAAAATATTGTATGGGCAAATGAATAAACGTCTTCTTTAAAACTTTGGTTTCATTCATACATCTTATTAATATTATAAACGCGAAAGGTTGTGAATATGGATGGATTTTTGGTACTCTTTCAAATAATTCTTAAAATAAATTTATTAGATGTTTTAACCTCTTTGAAGTTAAAAGTTAAAAAATTATTAAACCCACAGTAAATTTACTAATTGCTCACCACAATCACATGCAAGCAACCATCTGCCAGGTACTCGAAACTATTGTTGAACCTTATTCTTGGCATGATAAAGCCGCCAAGCAGCTCTCTTTGTATTTTGATATAATGGTGAGATTTACATAACTGCATGATGTTCCTAATGATGTTCATGTATATTGTAAGGCGACGGATGCAACTTATCGTCAACTTATTATATATAAAAAAGGTTCTATATTCAATTTTATTTTGGTATATTAAGCTATCTAAATTTCATCGAATTTTCATAATTATTCTTTAATCATTATGTTTCACAGCGCTGTTTGTATTATCCAATTTGATTATAATCTTCCTAATTATTATTTATTTTATATCAGTTGTCCTGAAATCCCAATGCATTATTTTTGAAGATTTTCATTTAAAGACTAGATTAGATTGTACTAAATTTTATTCCTAATGGGATGAAATAAGAGTTCAAACTTTTATGTGAAAACAATATTTAGTAGGAAAGTCTACTAAATAAATATATACTTATGTAATTTTTTTTTAAATAAACACCTCAGTAGGTGCAGTGTGAGTTCTAAATTAAGGTAATTTATGCTAGCGATACCACGGGCTAAGTCTAGTATTTATATAGAAGCTTCACACCAAATCTATTTGAAAGAAAGAAAGAATGAAAAAATATTTCAGGTAGGCAATCTAATTTAATTCGTGTTTATTAACAATAGCTGAGAGTACTCACTATAAATATGACATTTATGAGCAATCAATATAATTAAAATTATTACTGCAATTCATAAATGAGTCACGTCACGGTCCTACTTCTTTTTTTCGGGATTTGTCCCGCCTTCGTCTAAATTGGTAACACATTAAAAAAATATATTCATACCCTAAAAATAGTTTCTATGATTTCGATATAATTAATTGTATAATCTGTTTTTTTATAAACACTGTACTCACTGCTAATCTAGCATATTCCAGGTGTAAGATTTTTTTAATCTGTCAATCGTATACTGTATCTACTCATTACAAACAAGCAATCAAATATACATAAAAATCAAATGTAAACTGTTAGTAAAGATAGCGATATAAAATTCGTTAGTGTACGAGTATACATACAAACGTGTTCGCGTTCGGAAAACTGCGGGCCGATAAGTGCCGACTAGTGACAAATTCTTCTAAATGCAATTATATTATTGTTTTTATTGAGCGCCTCACAAGTAATTGAAATGACAATCACGCTGACTGCCATTCTGATGGTAAGTTGCTATGAACAGCACTACGGACTTCACGTTATTATATGCTATTCAAATGCAATATATTTTCAATCAAACCACCCTTTGATTCTAACACCGTACACCACGGGCGACCGCAGCAATTAATAATGCTTCTGTCTACTCCATCGGGTATAAAAGTCGTGAAAATATACTACTATTATATAATAGTTATATATGTATAAATTAAAGTGCATATAACAAAGATTCCCCAGGATTCTACTGACAGAAATATTTCTAGAATCATACCTCATCCTCAATACAAACCTTTGTTCTCACTCGCCATTTACAGCTCAATGGCCCCATGATGCCAGCAGTGTGCGCTAAAGACAATATAATGCTTCTTTCTCTCTCCCACATATACGACATTTACTACATCTCTTCAATAATATCAGGTAACCGTGACACATTGGATGAACAACAAGCTGGTGGCATATACATAATAGACTCTAATAACTGCATCCAGCTGTTAAAATCCTCATCCAACAGACATTAGGTTGGATTACTGGACAATCAGCTCTGCGCTGGGAAATTGGATGGTGGTATCGACGCCTGTAAGGAACGCAATTTACAGTTTGTTAACTTTGAAAAAGTTTTAATACTATTGTTTTTCAATCCTATTAAAAATCGACTATCTCGGTGATCTAGTGATTTACTACATCGCTGTACTTCCGATAGTTACGGATTAGATTCCTTGCACGCTGCAAACATTTAATAATAATATTAATCTCAGGACAATTCACACAGCGCCATCTAGACCCAAGTTAAGCTAGCTAAAGCTTGTGTTCTGGGTACTAGATACCTGATACATATACATAGATTTTTTTTGTAAATACATACATGTTATATATAGGAAACACCCAGACCGATACAAACAATCATACTCATGAATACAAATGTTTGTGCCGCACAAGGAATCGAATCCGCGACCATCGGTCGTAAAGCGGTATGCTAGACCGCGAGGCAACCGAGGTCATCATGTTATTTACTTCCTTTCTTACGATCTTTCATATTATCCATCTACATGTATATGTAACACATTCTTTAAAATATTTTCTTCATTCCTTCACTTCAGCATTGAATGGTTTTCTTTTTTAAAGTAAGACAAAATGATTGACTGAATGAAAAGCCTAATCTGGCATTATACTAATGTATTTATAAATATAACATCTTTGTTGTACGTAAACAAATTATACATACATAATACGAACAGGACATTTTGAGTTGAATGCGTCAACAAGATCATGAAGTGATATTACGATTAATATAATAATAGCATTTTATTGCTTTTATTTATTTTAAGTTGATTTCTCTAATATCTAATAATTTTTCTGAACAATTGGCCTATCAAATACAATATAGTTTTTTATCTGACTGATAATTTCAGAGATTAGTGCATTGTAAACAAACTCTTCAAAGTTGTATATTAATAGATGATCAGAATTAAAGCGTTTAAATAGATAGATAATAAAAAATCAGGAATCTCAGGAATCAAAATCACAAAAAAAGAAGTTCAAGTATTTGTGGGCTTCTGTCTATTGAATAATACCGTGTTTGATGCTCAATATTATATATTTTTCCTGTTCAAGCACTGTTAATATCCGATGTTGTCATTCAAGTTTAAGATTTAATCTGTGGCGCTCATATTTGCTTGTACTGAAAATTAACATAAAGAAACCATAAGTTTGTTGATCGCTAGTGCAAACCGTCATGTCCATGTTTATGCTGAGGATATATTTTATAGGTAAATATTATAGTTTCAATATTATAAATACTTTTACTAAACTATTTGTTATTTTTTTTTGTTGAACCCGTATTCCTTATGCGCAATAGAATAAAATAAAAAAATCATAAAAGTGTTTGTTTTAAAAACAATACTTGTATTTAAAAAAGAAGCGACAAATTTTATTCTTGTATATAATATATATACACACCATATTTTTTACAATTTATTTAATATCTCATGCAATTTGAGCCAAAATTTGCTTTTAGAATACGAATATTATAAATATAGATTAAATTTATCGCTGTTTAATAAAGTGACTATTTTCTAATTATTTTCAAACCTAATATGTTTATCGGGTAAGTATAAAACTTTTCAGAACGATTCAAAGCCGGCTTCATCGTGTGGCAGTGAGAGAAACTCCAAGCAGTTCTTGGGACTTGTAACCCGGGTGTATGTAGGTTTAGGGGGCTCTGTCCCACGTACGTCTACACTCACTTTCACTGCTCGTGTTTCTCTCCCTGCCCACCCAGATCTGATAAGAACAGGCTCTTACTTAGTCCGCTTTAATCTAACTCAGTGCAGTTCTAGATAGGCCAAGATCTCTTAGAAGATTGTAGAGAGATTTCGCTAGTAGACTTCTCATTTAAATTGTCATCATATATTGTAGCCATTTTTATTATTGGTTTTTTAGTCTATCTGGTGATATCAATAGATAGACTTTAATAAATGTTTATAATGCATATTGATAAGATGAAATACATATATATATAATACACATATATAAATGAAACTAGCTGTTTTACTATAAGGAAAATTATACTAGTTAATACCTAAGTGCATTAAAAATTTCCTTATAGAACAAAAATAGTTTTCTAGTTTTCTGTTAGGAAAATATTGTCAATTATTTTATTATAACTTGCCAAGTTATATTATTAAAAGTATTTTATATTATACTACGGAACACAAACCCTCGGAACAGTCGCTCTGTTCACAGAGCGACCGGTCAGGCTTCAGCAGGCTTCTGCCTGTGAAGACACCAGGAGAGTTTTGCGCTTCTAAGAGAAGCTTGGCTGGCTACTTTAGTAGTCTACTACTGCTACTTTATGAGCTCTACGCGCAGACCTAGACGAGAGCGTAAATGCAGAGAATACACTCCAATTGTTTAATGTACGCCCTCTAATATGGTATGAGTGCAATGATGGGTGCCTCATCCGTCATACTTGTGAATAGGTGCTGCTTGTGGGGACTGGTCTGTTCGGGTTACGAACACTGATTAGACTATTTGCTTTTACAATAGCATATGCTGGTGGTCACCCTATTCTCCCAAATTTGAATTTAAAAAAGTATCTGTATATTGTAAACATGTACAACTATTATTTGAAAAGAATACGAGCTGAGTCTCTTTTCAGTTCTTCTCATCTCCAAATAATTCTTAACTGACGGTAGATTCGACATATCATAAGAGTCTGTAATGGACCTACATGAATAAAGATATTTTTCTTTTTTTTTTTAATTTTGTAATCGATATTTACAGTGGCTGCAATACAAATCATACATGCGACAAACGAAAATATTTCTAGAGCCAAACGGGTAAGTCTATTTCAACTTCATATAGTATTAACAAACACATTAATGTGTTTTTTAATACTATATGAAGTCAGAATTACAAATACAAATATTGTATATGTTTCTGTATGTCTGTAACCTTTTCACCAATAAATGGATATAATTACGAGGATGGACACTATCCGTTACTTTTTGCTATGAAAGATAGAATATTAATTTCATCAACATCCATTCAACCTGGTTTAGATCTAAAAAGGTAACAAATAAATAGACAAAAAGGCACGTCATATCATATTTCTAACATCATTATGAATTAGTATGGAAATTAATATTTCAACAATATTTGATTAACTACGTTATACCTGTATGGTATACGCGAAACTTCTCAAAATTCTTGTCAAATGTATTACAGTACAATGACTATCAGTTTAGAAATCCAAAAAACAATATACTTTTTCAGGATGAAGATGAATATCAGTGGAACTGGAGTTACGTTGATTCGCTAGACACAACGCCAGTAAGTAAAACAAAATGCATATTAAAAAAAAATATTTTTGCAATTAGACTCTTACAGGGACTTTGCAAATCAACAAAAAAAATTATAAAAATAAATTACATCTCTATTTTTTTTAAAAAAGAACTTTGATTCTTAGCATAATAAGCGATGTATGATGTAACACATTATACACAATATGATTAATATTAACGTTAAGCTTTGCCATTATACTTATTTCTAGTTTATATTTACATTTGTTATACTTTATATTTAATTTCACATTTAATGATATAAATAATACTACGCAATAGAAAGCGTCATGATTGGGTTTACTTACCGACATTCACACCAAAAGTTAGGATTTGAAAAAACTACGCGTGTGTAAAATATTATGAGTGTTGACTTATATTTCTAACTTACTCTCTGTTAACAGAAACTCTAAAAACAAATATTGTTGTACTAGAGTTAAAAAAAACCTGACTGTCTATCAGGTGGTTAAGTGGCTACCATCGCCTATATACATATATATGAATGATAACACCAACATATTTTTTAGTAATTACTAAATACGATATCACGTGATCAGGCCCATAACATCATTTTTTGGTATTCCTGAAGACTAAGATCTCATGCATCGCCTTATCTCGGCTCTTCGACTGAAAGACAATTTACAAACCAAGCTGCTTGGTGGCTGAAATAGGTGATACAGTACGTGGGTACGCAGACGACTTTGTACAAAGTCAAATTTAATCCGAGAGAAGACTCGCTATACGTCGCATTAGATTGAAACAGTATATCAAGTGTTGCTTATACCATGATGTCGATTATTATTAACCACATCATCTGAGATATCAGTATAAATAGTAATAGAAAAGATCTTTATTCAAATAAACTTAATATAATAGCTTTTAACTAGTCATATTTTATTACTTCTACCACTCATTCGGAATGCAAACTCATCATAAGAAGATTGAGGAAGAAAGAAGAAAACTTGCATGTTACTCTTTCAATAAATGTTGTTTTAAATACTCATTAAAGAAGGAGGAAACATGCTAAATCAACATAGAAACCGCTACCTGATCATTCTTTGTACAATCAGATAATATAATCAGCAGCTATGAATATTAAGCTTTTATTCTACAAAAAATATTATTATCATTTATAAACTCTATCATTTTATAATATGTTTCTTTACAAATAAAGTGTTTTATACAACATTTTAATCTTTTTTCTGGAAGATATAGGCAGTTCGTTGTAAAACCTTACGAAATTTCTATAAAACGACGTACTAACTTTAGTTAAATGGCATTTAGATAAAACCAGTTTCTTATTTTTACGTAAGCTTTTATTGGTCTAAACTACCTTTTTTACAACTGACAATATTTTTCCTGGCACACATCATATTTTTGTAATTGTAGGTACTGAGATGCAACCATGAGAAAATTTGATTCCTTAAAGCATTCTCGCAAAGACTCCTTAGAACCCATACGATAAATAGAGCGAATAGTCTTCTTTTGAAAAATTAATACTATATTTATATCAGCTCCTACCTACCTACACATAATTATGCAATCACATCAGCATGAATAACTGGGATTAATTTATTATATTAACATATTTATTACAGTTAATTGTTAGCCAGAGACAATTAACTACCGAGCCAACAACAACCACAACAACAACTACAACAACTGATGCTGTCTCTCCGTGTCTTGAACCGCCGTTAGTCCAGCCAAATTTCACCGCTCCAGGCCGTAGAAAAAGTGTAACAAGTAATGTACCTCGCTTCATACAGACATAATAAAATTGAGTTGTCACTTCATTTCCAATTCATTATCAGCCAAATATCTAGATTTACGATTAATATGTTCTTATGTATGGATGAATAAAATATAGTGCATCACTTCAAACTTACAGAAGTACTTATGGAACAGGTATACTCCTGACTGACGGGGTTCCATTGGAGGATGATAAAATAAGGATGGAGTCAAGGCAAAGATCTAATGGATGATCTGATGCATCGTGAGGAATTCCCTAAGAATGGTACCATGATGGTCCAAAAAGGCGTGGTTGTCAAATTAATATTGTGCATTGCTACTAGTAGCCCCTGTTTCGTATCCGAACCTCCTTAGTCTAAACAGGTTGTATCACCGGCTTGCTTACTGAAGCAAAGGGCGCTAGATAATACTGGCCGCAAATAATTACATGTGGCCACTAATATTTCGAATTTAGAAAAAAAAACAATTAAAAATAAGAACTGGAATAAAAAGGATGCTCCGTATTTTTAACTATGTAAAACAAAGAAAATTATTGATTTAATTATTGCAATATAATTTTGTGGCCACTTAAATTTCGAATTTAGAAAAAAAAAAAAATATCTCCTCAGTCACAGTTCTATTAAGAGATTCAAATTCAATTTCAAATCGATAAGAATATTAAAAATAGGGAGTAAATTTTATTATAATATTTCTTTAAATATGAAACTATATAAGTCAGCCAGTATGAACTCACGAACTATCGACGTATCGGAGCAGTTACCGCTAAACAATGACGATTTCAACCACAGCACAGAGAAGTAAGCTGATCTGTGCTCTCAATGCTTTTTTTTAATTTCACAGAATGTTACGAATATATCTGGCAGTTAAAAGATCGAGTGCACAAAGAGGATCAAAATAAAAGATGTACGTATGCGATCATAGGCATTCCTTGTCATCCTGGGATAAGTATACTGAGAACACCTTTCTTCTGACTCCCTCACTATACACTAAATATATACTTATAACTCACCTTACCTCATTTTTAACTTTAAATTTTAATTTAATTTAATTTAATTCTGGTAAGAGTCTTTAAATGAAATTTATAGCCTATGTGTTATTCTGAAATATAAGCTATATTTCCGTCAATTTTCATATTTAAGATTTTATTACATTTTGGCGTTTGAAATATTAGTAAGATTTATTGTTGTAGTTTGATCACCATCAACAGATATACTCACGTATACACGGGTATGAAGTGGGAAATAAATATTTGAATAATAAATTTAATTACAGGTGATGAGTTTCGAATTAAGCATGGTTGGGGCCGCCCCTTTGTCTATGGAGGTTACAATACAAAACCCGGAGAATTTCCTCACATGGTAATTATTGAGGTTTCTACTAATTTATTAAGATTACCGAACGTGTACTTTGTTATATGCGACTATGATGCATGGATAGATTTTCTTTAAATAGAAACGCATACGGATACGCAAATTATGTACAAGAATGTAATGTACAAGAATGTAATGAACTATTGTTTTACCACTTTCCCTACCATCCAATTCGACTAGGAACTCCGTACACCCAGTATTGTAATTAAAGGTAATGATTTTTATTCCACAGGGCGCTATAGGCTGGAAAAGTGTTACTGGCACATGGTTATTTAATTGTGGGAGCACACTAATTAGCCACAAGTTTGTTCTAACTGCTGGACATTGTATTAAAGCATCTCCCAGAGATTCCAGAATTGCTGACCTAACTCCTAAAATGATAAGATTTGGGTCTACGAACCTCAACTCAAGTGTAAGTAAGTAATATATGTTATGAAACGAAGTTCTTAACATTTCATGGATTCACGGATTATGGATGGCGGCCGATGGTGTGGCAGAGAGGGAAACTCCGAGCAATTCTTAGGACTTGTGACCTGGGTGTAGGTTTAAGAGCCACATTTTTGGCGTACATTCACCGCTCGTGTTTCTCTCTCTCTGCGCTGCCAAATCTGGTAAGAGTCTCCTAGCCCAGCTTTACATACACGTTCTAGTATATATATAGAACGCTCTGCAATTCAAGACAAGCCAAGATCTTTTAGAGATATTTCTCTGATATATCTCTCGCTCCCACTTCGACGGCATATAAATTAATCACATACAGATTTTTTATTAATTCGTTTCTTTTTGTAATTTTTTTTTATTATTACTAGTATTATAATTTATATAACAATACAATTAGTGTATAATTGTAAATCTTATTTACTGCTACCAGTTTGTTAAGTTATAATTACATCTGAACTAATATATTTTATTTTACGAATAGAGTATTACATTCTCGACCCTTACATTTATTTCATTGTCATAAAGTTATACTTTGTCTCACCTACTTCTTCTACCCGCCACTTCATTGTATATCGATACATTCTTCTTACCTGTACACAGTAATTTTAGTATTTAATGATAATAATTTACTGCAATCTACGTACTCGGAGTCTATAAATAATTTCATCTCCGACCACAATGACGATCTTTTACCGAAACACAGATTACAAACAAGCTGGTTGGCGGCAAAAATGGTGAGACTCCACTTCGGTAATTATACTAATTATGATATAGCTTATCGTAGTCCGCCCATTATTTTTTTCAGTATAACATTGACAGAAATATCGCTAGAATCATACCGCACCCTGAGTATAAACCTCCGAGACAATATTTTGATATAGCGTTAATGGAAGTTGATTTTAAAGTAGATTTCTCTAAGGTGTCACAACCAGCATGTCTATGGCCCAAAGATGACGACAGTTTTGGTAATCAAGCTACAGTAACAGGATGGGGCCTTTATGAAAAAGGTAAAAATATTTTGATTCAATTTTTTTTTTTTTAAGTGTTGTGATGAACGATATACTTAACAGACCCTCGTTTTGCTGGGTCTATTTAATAATGACGTAGCTGGGGGCGAATCTATTGTAGTCTCTATTGGATAGATGTACTCGTAGATGTAATCAGAGAGGCTAGGCGGCCATAATAGGTGAGATCGAGATATCCACGCAGGTGACTGTTTACAAAGTCTACCGCGATGCAGTTTTGGTATTTACGATTTTGACGATGGTAATACCATCGAAATGTCGGGATCTTATAAATACGGAACATAGTGACTATTATTATTATTTATTAATTATTCTTTTATTGCATCTATCTCTTCCAGTTAATCTATATTCTATTTACATCTTACAAATGTAAATATTCATAACAAAGCTAGCGGTATTTTTTTTCCTTATATATGTTAATTTTTTTGTATATTACAAATCTGCAAAACAACTTTACGGCGCAACTGGTCGTAAGCAGTAACCATCGTCTATATATGTACAGCACTACAAAAATCAGGTTATCATGTGACACCTGTAACATTACTCATGCGCCTCTTGTCCTATAATTTATTTGGGTAACCTGCATTCTACAACCGAAATACACTTACAATATTACTTCGCAGTTGAAATATATTGAACTGGCATCATGTAGACCACTTTTTACAGTCTGGTACTAGTAAACGAAGAATATAATAAAATACAAGTTTCTTCATTCCAGATTTAAGAAGTTTTGAATAGCTATGGTTATTTTCATTAATGTACCACTCATTCGAAAAGCTGTCTCATCACAATAAGAAGAGCAACAAACTTGCAACTTGCACATTACTCTTTTAAATAATTGTTGTAGCATTGTTTTTTAGTTGAAATATGTGAATACAAATTTGTCTACTATTCATTAAGACGAAAGATAGTAGACTATCTTTCGTCTTCGTCATATATTTTATCTTCAAGTTAAATTTCATCACGATCAGCCGTTTAGTCATAAAATGGTGCTCACATTTAGTAACTCAATCAGAAGGGGGATGGAGTTATCTTTTTACATTTTGTTCTATTACATCAGGTAATCTCGACACATCGCTTGAACTACAGGCTGGTGACATAAACATAATAGACTCCAGTAATTGCAACCAGCTGTTAAGAACCTCATCCAACAGACTTTGGGTTGGAATTATGGACAATCAGCTCTGCGCAGGGAAGCTGGAGGGTGGCATTGACGCCTGTCAGGTACAATTTACCGTTTGTTAACTTCCAACAGTTTTCATTACTGTTGTTTTTAAATTTAGTTTAATAGTTGTACAACTATTAAATTAAATTTATATATTTATAATATAACATAGCTTTTACCCATTACTTTGTAAGGATAAAAGAGAAATATTGTCTGGGATTAATATCCAAAAACTATATATACCTAGGCATGGCATTTGTTTAAGGAATAATAAAACAAATATTAAATGCATTTAATGGAAGGCTGTTATAATCATTAAATTAAATAATTTCATGTAATTAATGTACACAATCGCACAGTTACCCAGATAGTGGTTAATAGTTCTTGCAGACAAGCCAGACAGGCTAAACAAACTGCTTTTCAGGCTTGGACCACGGCTCGTTCTAACAATGATATTGGCGTATCTGATGCGAGGCGGAATTTAAATGCTGCATCTAGGTTTAGTAAGAGGGCAATTGCTAGAGCCAAATTCGACTTCGTCAGCAAAATTGGAGAGCGACTAGCACGACATCCTTCTGGAAGTCGTGCCTTTTGGTCGCTTGCCAAAGCTGCCGAAGGTAACTTTTGTCAGTCGTCCTTACCAGCACTGCGGAAGCCGGATGATAACTTGGTACTTAGTGCAAAAGAGAAGGCCGATTTGTTGTGCGCTCTTTTTGCCTCAAATTCGACTCTAGACGCTAGGGACACCATACCTACTATCATCCCATGGTGTGGTAGCTCTATGCCGGAAATATCCGTAACATAACGGAGAGTCCGGCGAGAGTTACTGTCTCTTGGTGTCATCAAGTCGAATGGGCCAGACGGCATACCGGCATTGGTGTTAAATGTTGCGGGTGAATAATAAGATGTTGTTGGTCGAGACGATGTATATTACAGATGATGATAAACTGACAATATGTACATAGAAATAATGATCTTATATACTAAATAAAAATAGGAAAATGTAAGGTGGGGTGACACAGTTTAGATACAGCAGTGCCTAGTAGACAATATTGAATTTGTCTTACTAGACATTATTAAATGTAATTATTATTTTGATGTATCTAGGTGACTGTGTCCCATAGATATTCCCCCCTTGAGAGAAAATATATATATATATATATATATTACAAACAAACTAAAAATTTATAAAAGTTAACTGTAAAATTTAAGACGTTATCCACTTTAGTAACAATAATAGTTCATTATACCTAAATAACGACGTAAATCTTCGAAGTGTGCTCCTCAGTTGTGTCCCGTACTCACGCGCCTCTTCGCGTTTTCATACTCCTCTGGGCAATTTCCGCAATCATGGAAGATCACCCTTGTGCACCCTGTGCCAAAAAAGGGCGACAGATCAAACCCATCGAACTACAGGCCTATCGCTATTGCATCTCTACTCTCCAAGATGATGGAGCGTGTAATTAATACACAGCTCCTTGGATACCTAGAAGATCACGATCTATTGAGCGATCGTCAATATGGTTTTCGCCATAATCGCTCAACTGGTGATCTTTTAGCGTATCACACACCGCTGGGCTCTTGCCATAGAGAGTAAAGGTGAGGCGTTGGCAGTCGGCCTTGACATAGCGAAGGCATTCGATCGGGTTTGGCATCAAGGTCTTCTATCGAAATTGCCCTCGTACGGAATACCAGAGGGATTATGCAAATGGGTCGCTAGTTTTTTGTCTGGCAGATGCATCAAAACCGTGGTAGACGGTGATTGCTCCGATAGCATGGACATTAACGCTGGCGTCCCGCAAGGCTCTGTTCTCTCTCCAACACTGTTTTTGCTGCATATCAATTGTCTGTTAACCACAGTTAACCTTCATTGCTATGCGGATGACAGTACCGGGGACGCATATTACACGGGCCGTGCTAATATCCCTCTTTCCATTGTGGAGGCAAAACGCGAACAGCTTGTGTCTGAAATCGAGAGTACTCTTACCAGAGTCTCCGATTGGGGGCGACTGAACTTAGTTCAATTCAATCCTACTAAGACACAAGCCTACGCGTTCACCGCTAAGAAAACCCCTTTTGCTGTGGCTCCTCAATTCCAGAACACGTCCGTTACCATCTCTAAGAGTATTGGGATTCTCGGTGTCGACATCTCTAGTACTGTTGAGTTCCGCAGTCACCTGAAAGAAAAGGTAAAGCTGGCGTCCAAGAAACTCGGTGTGCTCAATAGAGCGAGGCGGTACTTCACTGCGGACCAGAGACTTCTCTTATATAAGTCACAGGTTCGGCCACACATGAAGTACTGCTCTCATCTTTGGGCGGGAGCATCTGGTACCAGCTCGGTTCTTTTGACTCGATTCAATGACGTGCTATGAGAATTGTCGATGATCTCAATCTCTCTGGCGGTATCGAACCACTCAGCTTGAGGCGAGACTTCGCCTCGCTTTGTGTGTTCTACCGATTGTACAATGGACTGTGTTCTGAGGAATTGTTCGACATGATGCCGACAGCCACCTTTTACCACCGCACCGCTCGCCATCGACATGGAATTCATCCCCACACACTGGAACCTAAGTGGTCCCGAACAGTGCGGTTTCAGAGGAGTTTCCTCCCGCGTACACTTAGATTGTGGAATGAACTTCCTGCCGAGGTTTTCCCACGAGACTACAGCATGGGATTTTTCAAGAAGGGTATATTAAGGTTTCTTAAGGGTCGGCAACGCGCAAGTGATATCCCTGGTGTTTCAGGCGTTCATAGGCTACGGTAACCATTTACCATCAGATGGGCCGTACGCTTGATTGCCACCATAGTAGTATAAAAAAAAAAGATAGACAAAATGTATAAAACCTTTTTTCAAATCAAATCAAGCACTTTTATTTGTAGAATACAGTGCTTTTAGGTATATACAATATTAATATATTGTCCAGTATATTCTGCTTGCATACAAGTGTGTAAATTTTTATATGTATATTATTAGCTGTCCCCGCAAACGTTGTTTTGCCATATAAATAAAACCAGCATTAAAAAATATACTTTGATGATAGAAGAGTGAAAGTTCAGGGTTGTCAATGTACTTTTATGCCACATCATAAAAAAATGAGCGAAGAAAAAACAGTTAGGGGTGGACCTTTATCACTTAGAAATACGAAAAATAGATAGTTAACCGATTCTCAGACCTTATGAGTACGCATTTAAAATTAAAAAAAATCGGTCTATATATTAGGAGTATGGTAACTGCTATTAAAAAATTGGGGTTGATGATAGAAGGGCGAAAGTTTAGGGTTGTATTTTTATGTGAAATTATAAAAAATTCAGCGAAAAAAAAACGGTTATTAGGGGTGGACATTGTCCATATATTGTCCAGTGGACAACCGTTATCACATAGGGGTATGAAAAATAGATAGTAATAGTAAAATTTCAAAAAAACTGGTCAAGCCGTTTATGTGGATTATGTAAGTAACATTGTGACACGAGAATTTTATGTGTAAGATTCTATTTATGTCATTCTAATTAATGAATAATTTAACCTCATTAGCATAAGTAGGTAACACTAGTATCACCTATACGTATTGTTTTTTTATATATTACAACAGACACAGCTCGCTCGCTCTTCGCTCCTCTATGATTTTAATATATATGTATATATTACAGGGTGACTCGGGAGGTCCATTGCAGGTGAGGATCCCAATACCAGCTCCATACGATAAACGCGAAGCGCAGGTGCACTACGTCATTGGAATCACGTCCTTTGGCATCGGCTGCGCTCTACCGAACTTACCCGGAGTGTACACTAGGGTGTCCAGCTTCCTGGATTGGATCGAAAATATTGTATGGGCAAATGAATAAACGTCTTCTTTAAAACTTTGGTTTCATTCATGCATCTTATTAATATTATAAACACGAAAGGTTGTGAGTATAGACAGATATTTGTTACTCTTTCAAAGAAAAAGTACTAAATTGATTTTGTTGAAACTTTACAGTAATTTAGCTTATACATTAGAATAACATCTAGGCTATAAATTACGTGATATAAACTATTATTTTTTTATAAATGTACATAATTTTCAGAACACTCAGACTAATACAAACAACCATACACATTAATACAAATGTTTCCACCGTGCGAGGAATCTAACCCGCGGCCATCGGAAGTAAAGCGGTGTGCTAGACCGTTAGACCACCGAGGCCCTCAAAGTTAGGTTGATACTTTTTGCTTACTGATAATATAAAAAATACACAACATTTTATGTGCCGTTTATTACTTTGAATCAATAAGATCAGCAAGTCCAAGTTGATTAAACAGGTAGGCTACGTAATAACAACTAGCTAGCCATGTTAAAAAATAATAATAACTAGCTTTGAATATATTATTATTTACGACGGCGTCGGTAGTCTAGCAGTTTAGCACAGCGCTTTACTTCTGATGGTCGCGAGTTCGATTCCTCGCACGATGCATACCATGTATTCATATACATATACATGACTGTTTGTATTGGTCTGGGTATTTTCTAAGTATTTACAAAAAAAATATCTAAGTATTCATATCAGTTTTTTAGTGCCCGTAACAAAAGCTTTGCTTACCGTGGCACTAGACGATGCAGTGTTAATTGTTCAGGTTTATTTATTTATGATTTCAAATAATTTAATTGCCGTAATTCTTCAAATAGTGATACTTTATTTTAAGTATCATCACTTTGCTTCAAATAAAGAATATATAGCTCGAGAGAATAATGTAAGTTGAATACTTAAAATAAATGTACTAGATTTTTTAACATCTTTGAATAACAGACTAAAAGTTTATTAAACCCACAGTAAATCTACTAATTGCTCACCACATTCACATGCAAGCAACCATCTGCCAGGCACTCGAAACTATTGTTGAACCTTATTCTTGACATTTTTCCTGTTTAATTTTAACGTACAATCTTGTCATTCAAGTTTAAGTTGTTGTGTAAGACGCACATATTTATTCAACGTTAATTTACCAAAAACATTATACGTGTTAGTCTAAAACGCATTCTAACAATTCTAACAATCAACATGCTGATATTAATTGCTAAGTTATATTTCATGGGTAAATATATTTTTTATATTATTTCTCGCAATACTTTAGAAATATTCCCAAAAAGGAGGTGCTTTGTATTTTGATTGGAGGGTGAGATTTGGCAGTGTAATTATAAGGTACAGAGGCATGACATCAAAGTCTGGAATGACTGCACAGAGAGGGTCTCACGAGATTTACATGTCACCGGTGTCAAGTAAGCTTATTGTAGCGAACTCCTTGATAGGTTTTTATACCATTTTTAAATTTTATGATAATATTCTTTGACATATTATTTTTGTTACCTTTCTATTATATTATATATCGGTGTCATACTAGTCGCATTTTATTTTATCTCCGTATTTTCCTCATTAAAACCCTCAGCACTCCTCACTCATCAGACACATTTGATACATCCGCTTCACTTATGATAAATATTATGTAAGAAAGGTTGATAATAAAGGCTATTATTATTATAGACTGATGCTGTTCATGTATATAGGCGACGGATGCCACTTATCGTTAACTTATCTATACATATAAATAAAATTGGAGTGTCTGTTTGCAATATTGAAATAACCGTTTTTTACTACATGCATATGAATATAAATATGTTACATACACCAAAATAATATTTTTCACATTTTTGTCTGTCTGTCTGTTTGTTCCGGCTAATCACTGAACTGAACTTTTTTTGGAAAGTAGCTGATGTAATAAGAAGTAACTTAGGCTACTTTTATTTTAGAAAAATAAAATTTAATTCCACGCGGACGACGTTGCGGGAACAGCTAGTTTGACATAAAAAGGGATTCTATATTCAACTGTATTTTGGTATATTAGGACATCTAAATCTCAACCTATTTTCATAATTCTTTTTTTGATCATTGTGTATCACTGCGCTGTTTATATTATCTAATTTTGCTGCTACAGTAATGCGTTTTGTTTAACACCATTTTTTTTTTCAATTATAATTTTCGCATTGTATGTATAACAATTAGAAAGTTTTCAAATAATATACAGTATTTGATAACAATGCCCCTGACTGTTATTTATTTGATAATATTTTATCTCCGTTATCTTGAATTCCCGGTAGGTACAATATATTTTACGATTTCAATTAAAGAATGTATCAGATCATCCTAAATTCTTCCCTAATGGAATGAAATGAGAGTTAAAATGTTTATGTGGAAACAATAATAAGTCGAGTTTCCGACTAATCATTATTTTATATAGTAGCTACACAAATCTATTTGAGGTAGGCATTCTAATTTAATTCGTGTTGATCAACAATAGCTGACAGTACTCACTATAAATACGACATTTATGAGCAATCAATATAATTAAAATTATTACTACAATTCATAAATGAGTCACGTCACGTGGCTACTACTTAAGTGTAACAAGTGATATATAATAGTACATTAAAAAATGATCATACCTTAAAACCAGTTTCTATGATTTCAACTGGATTTTACGATACCTGGATCTTGTCTCTCTTTTATTCTCGCATTTTAACATAACAACGGCATTTTTAACAAGTTATAATATTTTATATTAAACGACGACCTCAGCGGTCTAGCGGTCTAGCACACCGCTTTATGACCGATGGTCGCGGGTTCGATTCCTCGCACGGCACGACCATTTGTATTCATGAGTATGATTGTTTGTATCGGTCTGGATGTTTTCTATGTATAATATATATCGCTAATAGTTATCACAGCATCATATAACCTGATATTCATATATAAATGGGTATATATTAGGATTTAGTTCAAATAAAATCAATATCGCTTGATTCGTATTGGTCTATTAAAAATAATAATAATATCAAGACAATTCACACAGCGCCATCTAGACCCAAGTTACTTATTAATTTGTATCACTATACAAATACATATTTTCTTTTTCGTACATACATACATACATCCATAAATTACGTGAGGTGTTTTTTTAAATTTTGTGTCCGTCCTCCCCCCTGGTGAGATATCGTGAGATTTTATTCAACCCCCTCCCCCATCTCCCAATCTCACGTGAGATTTTTCGAAATGTGGGTTTCTTATGTAAACGCATTGATTATAAAAATAAAAAAAAATATTTCTTGCTTTTATTTATCTTAATCGTATTACGAGATTAAATCTTAAGCATGTACAATCCGTATTAAAATGACCAAAATAGTTTTTTTTGTTTCAATCACAAAAAAAATTGCTTGATATTATCCGGGACTCCCCCCCCCCCCTCTCCAACGTAAGATTAATTGAGATTTTACTCGACCCCTCCTCTTAAACATCTCACGTAATTTATAGACGCATTACATATATATTGTACATAGGAAACACCCAGACCCATACAAACATTCATACACATGAATACAAATGTTTGTGCAAGGAATCGAACCCGCGACCATCGGAAGTTAGGCGGTTTGCTAAACTGCTAGACCACCGAGGTCATTATTATTACTATTATATTTATATACGTTTTAATAATATTTATTCGTTACAAAAATAGTATGGTATAGTGATGTCCATCGTGATATATATGTAGGTATATATATACATATGTAACTGTTACCGCATACCATGAGGTGGGCCATTAGCTTCTTTGCTTTACTAATTACATTAATAAAAATCAACTAATTAAATATTTCATTACACAATTATGATCATATAGTAATGTTACGGTATTATCATTGTTCTGTTATACGTCTTACGACAATATAGCGGATAATATAGCATTTCAACATAAAACAGGTTTCTAATTGAATAGTATTAATATTATTATTATACACTACCTGACAATCTTTATTATAAAAAACATTTTAAGGAAAGTAATAACTATTATATACATATACACCCGGGCGAGTGCCCGGGTGTATATGTATTATACAATAAAACTTCTTCTTGAATCACTCTATCTATGAAAAAAAAACCGCTTCAAAATCCGTTGCGTAGTTTTAAAGATTTAAGCATACATGGAACGGACAGACAGCGACAGTAACTTTGTTTTATACTAGTACTATGTAATGATAATGAAGTTGGATCAATTTGCACACTGCGCCTTAAATATTATAATGTTTTTAAGGAATTTAAAGTTCGTCCTAGGAAAAATCATGACAACAGACTCTTATAGGTTCGTTTCTGTACATGATGCATTATGGATCATGTTTAAGATCTCATTATAATGAGATATGAGCAATATTAACATATATATTTTTAATTAGTTTATTACTGATTTTTTAATACGATTATTAATATAGTATACTATTTATTGCATTAAAAAAAATTATCTATATAGCTGATAGTTAAGTACTCATTACATAGTACAGAATAAAGTCGCTGTTACTGTCTGTCTCTATGTATGCTTAAATCTTTAAAACTACGCAACGGATTTTGAAGCGGTTTTTTTAATAGATAGAGTGATTCTATAGAAAGGCTTATATATATAATATATACACCCGCGTGTGGCCGGGGCGAGTAGCTAGTTAATCACAAAACAATAAAAACTCGAGTCATTGCACTTAAGGTTTTTTGTTTGTTATTAATAAAAACTTTTAAAAAAACATCAATCAACCATAAATAGTTTATCACGATATCATCAATTACAATATGTAATCATATCTCAACTGTCAACTACATCAGCTATCATCATTATATCTATAAAACTACTTTTTTTACTTAAATGTAAAATTTTCAGTTGCAGTCATACATGTTACGCAAGGAACAAAACTTTCAAGGTTGAAAAGGGTGAGTTCACATTAATTTTTTAAGCTAACTTTCATTAATCATTCTCAAATAATATTTGGATTGCTTGAAAATGTATGTAAGAAACAGTAAACTACTTTATTGGAATTTTCGAAATTGAATGACTAGAGATCGCGTTTGTGTTCATGGTAGATCGTGACACTACCTAACAGTATAATAGCAATGTAAAGAACATTCAATCTCAGTAATATTTCCTTGTAATGATACGTCATCACTACATAGTATAAAACAATGTATGTACAACATATTCACATTATTTTTACAAAGTTTTAGTTTGTAAATTCTTTTTTTTCTTTTATTTTCGTTCTTCTGACACATTCCACAAGGATATAAATGAGTATCATCAAATTATTGATAATGTAATAGACCTTTTTAGTCTAAATCATCATTATATAATATAAAGTATACTCGTATAAAATAAAGTCGCTGTCGCTGTCTGTCCGTTCCTATGTATGCTTAATTCTTTAAAACTACGCAACGGATTTTAAAGCGGTTTTTTTAATAGATAGAGTGATTCTAGAGGAAGGTGTATATATATATAATAGATATACACCCGGGCGAAGCCCGGCTTCGCCCGGGTGTATATCTATTATAGCAAGCAAGTAGCTAGTTCACAATATATTTCATTGGGTTTCACCAACATAATAATGTTATTGAAAATGTTAGTAATGTTTTCTATTGCTTGAAAATCTATTACTAATATTATAATCGCGAAAGTTTGTGAGGTTGGAGAGATATATAAATGATGATGAAACAGAATCTTACTAATATTATAAACAAGAAAATTTGTGAGCATTGATGAATGGATGTTGGTACTCTTTCAAGCAAAATCTACTGAACGGACTTTAATGAAACTTTTGCAGAAATATAACTTATACATCAGAATAACATATAGAATATAATTAAAAATATATTATGCAAATTGAGCAAAATAGTAGAATGATAAATGTCAAGTAAGTGTGAAGAATTATAATATATTAAAATGGTAATTAAAATAACACATACAATCATATATTAATACTAGAATATTCGAGATACAAACTGACATATTCCATAAAAATTGACTTGAATATATTATTAATATTATTTACAAATGTTGATCACATTGTACTTTCGACATATTTCAAAACAAAGCACAAAAGGTGAGTATTTATAATCTATACCTATTATATCGTTATATTTTAATAACCACATGTAATAATAATAGGTTTGACCTTCATGAACATGATATCATCTTTATATAAACAATAATAAGATACAACGGCCGATACAAAATCAATCGACGGCCTCGGTGATCTAGCGGTAAACCGCTTTAGCGCTGTGCTAAAGCACAGCGCTAAACTTACGTTGGTCGCAGGTTCAATTCCTCGCACGATATAAATATTAAAGTATGATTGTTTGTATTAGTCTGGATGTTTTATGAATATATCTATCAGTTGTCTAGTACTTATAACACAAGCTCTGTCTATCTTGAGACTAGATGGCGCTGTGTGAATTGTTTAGGGATATTATTATATTATAATCACGATATGCAGACTGCATGCTCTAACTAAGTTTATATCATAAGATTCGCTTTTTAAGTATGTTTAAAGATTAAAGAGAAAACATTTTTTATAGCATGACGGGGAGTGGAATTATGACTACATTGATTCCCTGGATACAACGACTACTGTAAGTTTTTTTTTTATTTTACATTAATTAGAAATATTAAAAGAAAAAAATTGGTGGTCAAGCAGTTTAGCACAGCGCTTTACCTGATCGTGGTTAGGATGGACGTGGTAGAATTCCTTGTACGAATGAACATTTTTCTTTATTAGTATGATTGTTTTTATTATTCTGAGTGTTATATATATTATACATTATAATAGAAATACGTAAATATAGATAGATATATATAGAACTATTTAAATATTTAAGTATTTCTATTATGTACTTGTTTAGCTTTCATTGTAAAATGTTCGCTTAGTTTGAGAGTATATGGTTTCCTGAGTATTTTTTTTTGTAATTGATGAGCCCCAAAAACATTAATAAAATGTATAATTTTAATTTCTATGTGTGTATTTTTAAAGATGAATCATAGATCACTGCAATAACTTCAGTCTGTACAAAGTAATCCACGTGAGTATCTCTGCCTCACTTTTTATCAACTGTGAAGATGCTGGCTTTGTAAAGTGGGAGATATGACAGTGAAATTACAGGGTACCGAATTCATGAAACCTTAGTCCTCTGGAATAGAAATCCATAAGTTAGTATTCATTATCATCATCATCTGTCCACTGCAGTCCACTATGGAACAAAGGTCTCTCTCAAGGTACGATTCTAAGCCCTCTCGTATTTTTGTACAGTTATTACCCGCAGGTCTATGTATATAATCGCTCCACTTAGCTTTAGGGCATTCTGCCTTTCCTAATTCGCGGTCTTTTTGAAGATATTTTTATAAACAGATGTTTTTTATTATATTACAGTTGAATATTGCTGAGAGACAATTACCATCTTTACCATCAACAACCACTTTACCACCGAACCCATGCCTGGATCCTAAGCCTGTGCAGCCAGATTTCTCTGCGCCAGGACGCAGAATAAGTGTAACAAGTTAGCATTAATTATTTTTAAAATTTTGTGTTTACTATACATCATTTTTATTATTACTCCAGTCGGCTCATGGCCACGGCTAGTGCAACCTAGCCGAAAAGTCGTGAGAGGTTTTATTGACATAAAATATAGGCCTTTATTTTCCGCAGAATTATTTGTATTAAGACCCGGTTAACGATATAAATAAGTTGGCAGTATTTAGTTATGACTAGCTGCCCCCTTAACTTCATCTGCATCACACTTGATATTTCTCATTATATTTTACCCACTTTACATAATTTATTTTTAATTCATAGCCTGTATGTTATTCTGATATATAAGCTATATTACAGTAAATTTCATCAAAATCCATCCATCCATAAGTAATAAGTAAGTCCATCCATTCATCCGATCATATTCAGAAACTTTCTGGTTTTACATCTTTTATTACTTATATATATGTATGTATGTATATAAAAATATACACCTTCACGACTATTATACCTAAGGGGATAATCAGAAGCATTAACAATTATCAACGTCGTGATCAAATGCTGTGAGATGTAATGACGACTTGAAATTAACGTAGCAGAAAGTATTCTGCCGCCGTCTCTAGCATTGTTTTTGTTTATTGTCAGTGTTTCCATCACTAGACAATTGATCTATACCTATATATATAAATAAAATTGGAGTGACTGTTTGTAATATTGAAATAGTAGTTTTTTACTACATACATATGAATATAAATACGGTACATACACCAAAATAACATTTTTTACAATTTTTGTCTGTCTATCTGTTTGTTCCGGCTAATCTCTGAATTATGACGGGACTCTTTTTGACAGGTGGCTGATGTAATAAGGAGTAACTCAGGCTACTTTTATTTTAGAAAAATAAAGTTAAATTCCACGCAGACGAAGTCGCGAATACAGCTACTTAGTAATAGAAATTGATAAATACAGTTTTTTCCTTATTGCCATATTGAACTCATGACCTTTGGGACCGACCCCACCAAGATGTGACCACCCAAGTGAACTACGAAGCTCTAAAATTCAAAATTTTTTTAAAATTATTATTATAATATAATCTCATTAAATGAAAATTCAGTGCATGAACAACTATTGCCATGCACACTCGTCATTCAAGTAATCGTTTAGTGAGTAATAGGCTTTGCTCAGTAAATATGATTTAACAGATGTTTTGAATTTATTTAAGGGTAATTCCAACATATCCTTTTGTATCTTATTGTAAATTTTTATACCTATTCCCATAAAAGACCTATTTCTCTAAACGATACTTGGGGACAGCAAGTTTTTCTTTAAATCTAGTATTAATATTATGAATATCGCTGTTTTTTGGAAATAAGTCAAGATTTTTATGAACATATAGGATATTTGAATATATAAATTGAGAAGCAACGGTTAGAATATTTGCCTCTTTGAATTTCTCTCTTAATGAGTCACGACTCTTCATACAGTAGATCGCTCTGTTATGATCTCTGATTATACATGTATATAATCATATTAAATAGAGTTCTGAACTTAAATATATACAGAGTGATCAAATAAAGTGAGATTATTGTTATGATTATTTTTTTATAATTTCATATGATAATTTTACAGAATGCTACGAGTATATCTGGCAGTTAAAAGACCGTTATGATGATATTAACAGAACAAAGACATGTAAGTATGTAAATTTAATTAATAATTAACTGTTGAAACATACCGTGATATTGTAAATAATTTGCTCTGAGCTATGTTTTGCTTTTAAAAAAAATACATATGTACGCCAAATATAAAAACAAATATTATGGATGATAATAGAATTGTGCCCACCTGCGCTAACGGTTAACGCTGGCAGGACACCAGAGGATGAGATGAGCATGAGGTCAGGTCAGTTAGTCAATCGTAGTAAATTCGCTATAAATTTATGACGATGGTTTGATTAAGTAATTTTCTTACAACCCCACCTCACATAATCCTATTGTCATTTAGTATATAAGATCAATATTTTTACGTACATATTGTCAGTTTATTATCATCTTTAATATACATCGTCGCAACCAACAACATCGAATCATGTATCCGCAATAGTAGTCAAGTTCAGTCAATTACAGTCACAGATTAGATTTAACTATCCTAAAGCTCTTGAATACACTTCCATCATTTTACCAAAAGAGACTTTGTCATCTCTGTAAAATAGCTAGCCTTAGAATTTTAGAAATGTGGGGCATGGCACAATAAAGTTTGGGAAACACTACACTAATCAAATGCTAATTTTCAATTCACAGGTTTAGAATATAATACTAAGTATTTCGGCGTGAAATATGTCATTGGAGGCCGATTTACACTACCTGGGGAATTCCCTCACATGGTAATTACGTGGTTATATTTTATACGAATTTTGTTAGTCATCAATTAGTAAAAAGACACAATGGATTTTTTGATTTTACATTTTTTTAAATTATGCAAACATAATATATCTATAGTGTTTAGACCATGACAAATTCAGTTTCAATAATCAGGGATATTCATTATTAGGGATAACTTAAAAACTACCATAAATATTTTGAAACAAAACCAGATGAAAGCATCTGCTTTCAAATAAATAATAAACAAAATCGGTTCAGCTAGAATCATTTCTAACGTACATAAAAAAATTATAACTTCCTCATTTTTTAAGGTCAGTTGGGTATTGCAATGTACTTTACATTGCAATACCCGTTCGCAATTCTTATGAACTTCCATTTCTGAGAACAAGTATCCGTCAAGCGGAAGTTGGCCTTCAGCCGCTCCATATATCATGCCTCCATATCCTATACGTAAATATATTAGAACTACAGTATATTCAAATGTGCAATTTCTTCTACAGGGTGCTATAGGATGGAAAAGTGTCACTGACACATGGTTATTTAATTGTGGGAGCACCCTTATAAGCCCCAAGTTTGTGCTAACTGCTGGTCATTGTATAAAAGCATCTCCAAGAGATTCCCGAATTGCTGACTTAGTACCTAAAATCATAAGGTTCGGTGTTAAAAACCTAGAAAGTGTTAATGTAAGTAAATCTGATCTGAAAGAGATTAATAATAATAACAATTCCCACATCTAATACTAAGCTAAGCATATCTTATATTCCAAATATAAAAGAGAAAAGAAAATACTTTTAAATAGTGTATTTCAAAATTCGAAAGTGCTATTTATTGTATCAAATTATTCATTTCCATATTTAAAATGACATCACACTTAGAAGAGGGAATTTCACAAGTGACATTTGGTCACATACCAAATGTCACACAGAGTCAAAAATATTTAAATTTGTGTGACTATTCATTGATTGATGATTCCTTTCTAATATGATCTTAAATAATGATATGAGAATAAAATTAATCGATAATATTTTTTTTTCACAGGATTACGTTGACAGATCTATCACTAAAATCATACCGCATCCTCAATATAAACCTCCGAGGCAATACTTTGATATAGCTTTAATGGAATTATCGGGAGCACTGATATTCAGTAATGTCATACAACCGGCTTGTTTGTGGAGTAAGAACGACGATAGTTTTGGAAATCTAGCCACTGTCACTGGTTGGGGGGTTTATATAAATGGTAAGTATAATTCTTGAGAGTTTCTTAATACCCAATTTACACTCAGCCCGAGTGAGCAGGAAAGTGGGCACGGAAGTGTGTAAACACGATACTTCCCATGCCATTGGCGCTGCCCAGCGCTCCCTCGATTGTTGGTTTTTCGTGCGCGAGTGAAAGGACTGGCAGCGCGAGTGGCAGCGTGTGTTTACATTCAGTCATCTCGCTCAGTTGTCGCCCGGCAAAATTTCCGGCAGCGCGAGTGGCAGGGGAAGCGGCTGAATGTAAACGTAGCATTAAATTGCTCCCGAGCATAGAGGGTAGTGACAACCTAAAACAATATCAAATCAAATAAAAAAGACATTTAAACCGCTTATGAACGTGATTTTTTTTGTATTATAGCTTTTCCCTACTGTCCAGTTTAGTATTGATATTCAAGTCAGATGATAAACTCAATAATCTAGAAATATATAATTCTTATGTACTTGTGTCTGATACCTAAATGAAACTAAACCAATTTGAAGGAAAATGTATATGTATATATATCAATGGATTCCTAGATGATTTGAATACTGGATCAAATGGATAAATTACGTAATTTATGAACTTATGTAATTTGATTTGGATTGTAAACAAATACAATAATTTTACTTGCAAAAAACTGTTTTGCAGTTATTTACGCCCATCTCCAGAATCAGTTATACATTTAAACAAAAACAAATCAATATATCTTATATTTAAGAATATATTTTATTGTATACTAATCTTATAAAACAATGCACGTATGGAATGTTAGGTTACGTTATTATGTAAAAAAAATGTTAATGCAGGTAATCTGAACACATCTGTTGAACTGCAAGCAGGTGATATCTATATCGTCAATTCATACGCCTGTGATCAATACTTAAGTTCATCCAATAACAGACATTGGGTTGGATTAATGGACCATCAGCTCTGTGCTGGGAAACTGGAAGGAGGCGTTGACGCATGTCAGGTACTTGGGTATAAATTAAATAAATAACTGTAAACTGACTCCATAAAACACTAGCTATCTACGAATGAAAGTCTCATCGAAATCGGTCTAGCCGTTTTACATTTAGCTTTGCCTTTTGTTTTAGAAGAACAATCTGACAGATAGAATTTGTTTATTCCTATTCTATATAAACATCCTATATATATTCAAAAACATTTAGTGAAAAGCTATTAATTTCAAATTACAAACAGACACTTCAAATTTATTGATTTGTACAGATAAATAGGAAGTTTACATTCATGACTCTAAAGTCAGATGTGATAGTCAGAGACGTTGTCAATAGAAATATTTGTATGAAGATGATATTCCATCTTCTACGCACACCCGCCTGTGCTAACGGCACACACTGGCGAAGCACCAATAAAGGATGTTAGAATGAGTATAAAATCAAATCAATTCGTTCATCGTGAAATAATATCATATATTCATCAGGAATATTATATTATAAGGGCTATTATTTCAATAATTAACAATATCGCCTTTACGGACATGTTCCATCACGCGCGGGAAAGCCAGCGTGCGCAATTCTAAGTTAACTAGTTTTTGTGTTCACTCTTTCGACTGTAACGAATGACCTGTTAGTGTCATATAAGCACAATCACGGTAATCATCTTATATGACACTAACGGGTCATATCATTTACTTTTAAAATTGTATTTTTATTCTACAAAATGGCGGAATAGTCCGCCATTTTGCAATGGTAATTAGTTATTGCAAAATGGCGCTAAAGCACGCCCGATTGAAGGGAATGCGTAAGCTGGCGGCACTCGTGAACTTTCTCGTTCTCTTTTCTTTCCCAAAAATGACCATTTAAAGTTTGTCTACATATATGGTAATTTTTTAAAGTGTCTGTCTGTGTAAAGTCGATCCGCGCGTGAACGAGCGTTTATACTGACTGATATTTGCATTTAACGATGTGTGTATATATTGGGTTGATTATTTTATATATAGACTTTAAGCTCTGCAAAATGAGTAAAAAGAGGAACCTGCGTAAATTGTTCGAACTCTAATTATTTACGTTACAACTATAAAATTACAGGGTGACTCAGGTGGACCATTGCAAGTAAGGATTCCATTACCAGAACCATATAATAAAGGTGAAGCAAAGGTACACTATGTCATTGGAGTAACGTCTTTTGGTATCGGCTGCGCTTGGCCAAACTTACCCGGAGTGTACACTAGAGTGTCCAGCTTCCTGGATTGGATCGAAAATATTGTATGGGCAAACAAATAAATGTATTAAAAACTTTTGTGTCATTGTTAATTTTTACTTATTTACGAGTTTAAGAGTGTAGTATATTTATAAGAAGCGTAATTAACAGAGTATGAAGGTACAAGAGGCGGTTTTATCGCTTATGTATTATGTATGCACTTACAAAAAAACTGTTTAAATATTTATATCGTTGTCTAATAGCCATAACACAAGTTCTGCTAGGCTTGAAACTAGATGGCACTGTTTGAATTGCCCAGGGTTAGTTAGTATTTATTAGAGCTTATTTTAGGGGTACCAAACAACCAATATGCCATTTATATATCCATTTTTTTTGTATATAGAAACACCCAGCCCAATACAAACAATCAAACAATCATAGTAAAAGTGTTTGAATTGTACGAGGAATTTAACCCGCGACCGTGAATTAAGAAAAAGGCGGTGTGAAACCAGCGAAGCCGTGGCGTCAGAAGCGGTATTGTTTCTCTTCGTCCTATATTTATTCTAGATTAACAAATCCAGTATTGAAATGCAAAAAAATGTGAGTGCCTAACGCAATCTCTTCCGTCAAATGAGGCATGGAAGCGTGACGAATCGTCGCTACTTGAAGCAGATTATGCTAAATCCGTGCAGTGCCAGGATCAGTCCAAATGGAATTCAGAGCCACGCTCTTCACTGTTTGCGAGATTGTCTGTTTTTCTTTCCATTCAAATAGCTACAGTAAATTGTGCTATTTTTGTACGTCTGTCTAAATCTTTACGCTAAGATGCGTAGGCAAATATAAATTATCTCAGAATACTACAATAATGCAAAGTCACTATTTCTGTTTCTCTATCTATTCTTTTAAACCTCGAAACAATGATAGATGATAGGGTGAGGACGAAGACATGTCAGTCAGTCCATGGCAAATATACTAGAAATTAATCACAGTTTCCATAGGGTAGTCGCTGCGTGGATATCGACTGACCGACCTGGCATGGTCCATTGCTAGCAATAGGGCCCTAGATCCTCTTACTTGCAATTATCTTCCTTCATCCGAAGTATGTATGTATGTATGTAATATCATAAATACAAAACTGTATCTCTCTGTCCGTTATCTTTTCACGACTAAACAGCTAAACTGATCGTAATGAAATTTTGCGTGAATATAGATTGTATTAAGATGACGGACATATTTAGATCTCTTTTACATCAAAGTAGCACAGCAATTTAAGAGTAGCAGCTTCTATTTGGTACATCTTCCATTCTTAAGGCTGCATACCTTTGACCCTCTCCACACAAAACATATAACTTCATAGCAGTAACTTTTGTGTTTTCTACAATAACAAATTAAATTCTATAAAATTTTGTCCATATACCAGCTAATATCAACCAGATTTTATTTTTAACAAGTTTATTAAGAATACCTACATCTTATTTTTATTACGTGGATACACTTCTCTTAAAAACTTGGTGTAACGGCAACTCCCTCCCTATACTAATCATTCAAAAAAGCGAAGGTCAGACGTAAAAAGGTGAAATATTAAACGTCGACGTGGTTTGAAAGTGATTAATGTAACCAAACGTGATGACGGATTGGCACAAACTTTTGCACTTTATACTTACACTTCAGCATCGAAATTTCAAATATAAAAGGATAAAAACAAGGCCCCGCGAAAACAAAAGTTGATTGCCATTACGTAACCTCAAACGAAATTGATGAAACTTTACAGGAATATAACTTATATATCAGAATAACATATAAGCTATAAATTTACTGCGGGTAAAACCGCGAGCACAGATAGTATTAAATAAATGTTTTGAAACAACCGCCACTTCATTCTACTTCTATAATTATGACAAGGTTGACGATATGGATCCCTATATGGATTATCAATGGCTGAAGATAAATAAGAACAATTTATTGATCATCTTTATGCATCTTCCTGCTCTAACGATATACGCTGATGGGTAGTGGAGGATGATAGGATTGGGATGAAGTTATGTCAGGCTATGATTGATTTATTTTGTCATTCAATTGACTATGTATATACATATATATCTTATAGGCTATTTGGGTACTACTTTGTAATTCTGAATATATATTTAAAAGAGCAACAGGCAAGTTTATCGCTCATTCTTCTTGTGATGAGCCTGCGTTCCGAATAAAAAAATATGACTATTCACAAGTGCATATATTATATTTATTTGAATAAAGATTCTATTTCAATTTGTGGCAATCACTACAAACGGCCGGGTGGCCGTTTGTTAACTGTGGCCCGCTCGCTATTTTATAAATATATCAACTGTACCAATACGATAAATAGTATATTCCTTGCAGTTAAGGTTGGCATAAACTTTTTGTGTATTTTACAAAATAACACAGCTTTCCATAAGAGGGCCTTTAACTCACAGCATGGAAACCCTGAGATCTTCTCGTCCATATCTGGCGCCCATATATTCTAAATAGCCAACCGTGGAGCAGCATTCACAATCAGCAGATATTCACCACGATGATTTTCATAGGGAGGCACACAGTGTCATCTAGTCCCAAGGGAAGCAGAGCTTATGTTATAGGTACTAGACAACTGATACCAGTTCTAACATACATTTTTTTTTAAATGCATATATATATACTTAGAAAACACCTAGACCAATACAAACAATGGTCCTCCCAAAAATATGATTACACAAATATTTGTATTGTGCGAAGAATCGAAACCGCAACAATCGGAAGTAAAGCGATATGTTTAATCACTAGAACATTGAGGCCGTCAATAAAATATAATAATACTAGATATGCCCGCAGTTTCACTCGCATGAAATTTATAGTCTGTGTTATTCTGATATAAGCTATATTACTGTAAAGTTTCATTAAATTCCGTTTTTGCGTGAAAGAGTAACAAACATCCATCCATACTCACAAACTGTTGCATTTCTAATATTAATAATATAAGATAAATAAAATTTATCAAAAAAAATATATAAAGATCGCCTTTGGTAATAATGATTGATTGACTATAACTGATTAGTTGCACCTGGTTTCATAATAAATGTTACAAATGTCCCTTGTAAAATAAGCATTACAAACAATAAAACTAGCCTTAGCCTACGCAGTTGGATATCTGAGGACGTAAGCTTATCTCTACCTCCTGTGACACCACCCTGTAAGTATTTATTGTTAAATTATAAATACAATAATAGTCATCCAAATTGGTGATCCAGACAGTGGTCCAAATTCGATCATAAATAATTTAATAATCAGTGAGATTATATACAAATAATATTAGACAAATAATATTAATTGGACTACAGACTTTAACAATAAACGAGAGTCGAGTACGTGGTATGTATGTAATCATTTTTATTGATTTATTACGCATAATTTTAAAAAAATATTGGATTTCTACATTCCTTTTCTACATAATTTATAAGTGTACGAAATTTCACACTGCAATATTCACGCAATTTTCCCAAAAAGTGGTAGAAAGCTTTTGCTTAACGTATTAATATATAGATTATATATGATATATATATAAATATAAACTATTAAAAAAACAAGCGACGAGATGAGACACGAAGCCAGTGGTTTTACATTACATTGCAGTTACTTCCTTTATATTGCAATGTTGATCGTTATACGTGTTTCGCTTCTGAATGAAACATACTCAGGCAATAAATAGAGTTCGGGTATATCTAGGAAGTCTTGTCGTGGTGAGACTACATGCTAGTAATAGCAGAATTATACAAGATATTATAAATCCATTAATATTTTTTTATCCATAATATTTTTTTGTAAAAAATTTCGTAAAAAATCATTAGCTATATGTATGTAGGGGAGACCGGGGCCACAATTAACAAAAATTGCATTTTTCATTGTACCTCCGAAATTTTCCAACGTTTAGACCTGATCTTTAGGTCACATGTGCTGTAACTATTCAGGTATCATATTTTTAACTTAAATCGAACGTAAAATAAACGATGCCTTAAATAGATTTTTTTTTCTTAAATAAGTCGTATGTTAAATCTTACCCCGTGTTTGGGGCTAGAATTAACAGCTCTGAGGTAAGTATTAACGTCATGTTATACTAACGAATATGAAAAAAACAAATATATCTATGACATTATTTTTTATTAAAGAAAGTGAAATCAATATAGAAGTGTATAGAGCACATTTTCTCATATGAATTGACATTACAAATTACAGAATATTTAAACATGAACAAAAACTTATAAATTCTTTAAAGTATTATAAATAATCAACAATATTTGGTCACTTTTATTAAAATCAGCAAATACTTATAAAAATATTAACGATTAAGAATATTGAGCATACAAATTATCTATTCATATTCATCATCGTCCGAAATACAATTCAGGCAAGCTAAGCTTTAATGCACTTAGTTTGGGCTTTACAAGAGATACATTGAATCCAATCACCACCTGAGAAATCACTATATGAAATACCACAAACAATACAAAGAGATTCGTCTTCTTCAGAATCACTACTTTCTTTTAATACTTTTCTCTTTGCCTTTTCTATTTTCTCGTCTTTATTTATTTTTCTATCTCCCTTTGCCTTGCTTTTACCCTTTACCCTTTCCCTCATCTTTTTTGTTCTCTTTGTTCTGTTTTTTTTCTGCTATTTTCCTCTTTTTCAGTTCTTTAATATGGTGTTCTTCTTCCAGAGCTTTTTTTCGGGCGTATCGGCGAGAATGGCAGATTTTTTGGCCCTTTTACGAGTAGATGGAGCTCGTGGTGGAGCTTTTAGTTAAAGGTCTTACAGTTTCAACCGAGAAGTCACCAGCATCTCTCTGCATTCCTGATGGTCCAACCGGCTCATTAGACATGTGTGAAATCACTTACATATTAGACATGTGTATAATTTCTACCTTTTTCCATAACTTCTTTCGCAGCCAACTCGTAGACCTCTAAGGATTTGGTTCCTCGAGTAGTTTTACGTTTGTATGTTCTCATTATGTAATAAAATGTAAGAAAAAAGAACATAAAACATAGGTATACAGTCGGATACCTTGTTAATACTA